TGGACCACCCCAAATTGTTGGTACCAAGGCTGCTCAACGTTTCGTACTCCTTCGTAACATTCTCAACAATATCCTTGATGGTTTTGACAACCAAGTCATCATGGGTTCTACTTTGAAGGAGTTGATCGAGGTCCTCAGAGATCCAGAATTGCCATACGGTGAATTCAATGCTCAATTCTCAGCTCTTCACGCAAGAATGCCACAAAAGTTGGATGCCACCTTGACTCAAATCCTTGACCGTGGTAAGTCTCGCAACGCTGAATTCCCAGCCAAGAACCTTTCCAAGGCTCTTCAAAAATTCTTGGATGAGAATGTTGCGCCTGGAGATGTTGATCTCCTTACCGCTTCCATCGCCCCATTGATTGAGATTCTCAACCGATACCAAAACGGACCAAAGGCTCACGAATTTGCCGTCTTCTCTGGCCTTCTCGAGAAGTATGCTTCCGTCGAGCGTCTCTTTTCTGGCCGTACCTCCCGTGATGAGGAGGTTATCCTTAAGCTCAGAGATGAGAATAAGGATGACATTTCCAAGGTTATTCAAATTGTTCTGTCGCACAGCAGAGTCGGTGCAAAGAACAACTTGATCCTCGCTATTCTCGAGGAGTATCGACCAAACAAGCCCAATGCCGGCGATGTTGCTAAGCATCTCAGACCTTCTCTTCGAAATCTCACTGAACTTGAGGCCCGTCAAACTGCCAAGGTTTCCTTGAAGGCACGTGAGATTCTCATCCAATGTGCTCTTCCATCCTTGGAGGAACGTGCGGCACAAATGGAGCACATTCTTCGATCTTCGGTTGTTGAATCAAGATATGGTGAGACCGGATGGGAACACAGAGAACCTGATATTGAGGTTCTCAAGGAGGTCGTTGACTCCAAGTACACTGTCTTTGACGTCTTGCCAATTTTCTTCGGACACAGTGATCCTTGGGTCTCGCTCGCAGCTCTTGAAGTTTACATTCGTCGTGCTTACAGAGCATACTCCCTCAAGAAGATTGAGTATCACAACGAGAGTGCCGAGCCTCCTTTCATTGTCTCATGGGACTTTGTCTTGAGAAAGGTTGGAGCTTCGGAATTTGGCATGCCAGTTCAATCTTCTGCTCCTTCGACACCAGCTACCCCTTCGCATGAATCCGGCAACCCATTCAAACGTGTCAGCTCTATTAGTGATATGACCTACCTTACCAACAAGCCTGACCATGAACCAACAAGAAAGGGTGTTATTGTACCAGTTCAATATCTCGACGAAGCTGAGGAGTACTTGCAACGGGCTCTTGAGGTCTTCCCTATGTCTGGATCTAAGAAGAAGGGCAATGGTCTTTTGCCGGAACTTGGTGGCAAGCGCAAGGTTGCACCACCTCGCCTTGATACTGAGGACGAGCTTACCGCCGTCTGCAATGTCGCCATTCAAGATGCCGAGAGTCTTGATGACAATGAGACTGTCGCTAAGATCAAGCTGATCGTCAACGATTATAAGGAGGAACTTCTCAACCGTCGCATTCGTCGTCTCACCTTTATCTGCGGTCACAAAGATGGTTCGTACCCTGGATACTACACTTTCAGAGGCCCCAACTACGAGGAAGATGAGAGTATCCGTCACAGTGAGCCTGCTTTGGCTTTCCAACTTGAGTTGGGAAGACTTTCCAAGTTCAAGATTACCCCCGTCTTCACCGAGAACAGAAACATCCACATTTATGAGGCTGTTGGCAAGGAAGCTACAAGCGATAAGAGATACTTCACTCGTGCTGTCGTTCGTCCTGGAAGACTTCGTGATGAGATTCCTACTGCTGAGTATTTGATCTCTGAGTCTGATAGATTGATGAATGATATTCTGGATGCTCTTGAGATCATTGGAAATAATAACTCTGATCTTAACCACATCTTCATTAACTTCTCTCCTGTTTTCCCTCTCCAACCTCCCGAGATCGAACAAGCTCTTGGTGGTTTCTTGGAGCGATTCGGTAGACGTCTTTGGAGACTCCGTGTTACTGGTGCTGAGATCCGTATTATCTGTACGGACCCATCCACTGGCATGCCATACCCCGTTCGTGTTGTCATCACCAACACTTCTGGTTATGTCATCCAAGTCGAGATGTACGCTGAGCGTAAATCTGAGAAGGGTGGGGAATGGGTCTTCCAAAGTATCGGTGGTACCACCAAGATTGGTTCCATGCACTTGAGACCAGTATCTACTCCATACCCCACCAAGGAATGGTTGCAACCAAAGAGATACAAGGCTCATCTCATGGGTACCCAATACGTGTACGATTTCCCAGAGCTTTTCAGACAAGCCATTCAAAACAGCTGGGTCAAGGCTGTCCGCAAACACTCCTCTTTGGCCGAAAAGCAACCCCCTACTGGTGAATGTATTGAGTACAGTGAACTCGTCTTGGATGACAATGATGGTCTTGCTGAGGTTTCGCGCGAACCTGGTACCAATACCCACGGTATGGTTGGTTGGCTCATAACTGCCAAGACACCAGAATATCCTCGTGGCCGTAAATTCATAATCGTCGCCAACGATATCACTTTCAGAATTGGTAGTTTCGGACCAAAAGAAGATCAATTCTTCCACAAGTGCACGGAACTTGCAAGAAAGATGGGTATTCCACGTATTTACCTTTCTGCCAACTCTGGTGCTCGTATTGGTATGGCTGAAGAACTTATGCCTTACTTCAAGGTTGCTTGGAAGAACCCTGAGAGACAAGAAGCCGGCTTCAAATATCTCTACTTGGATACTGAAGCCAAGAAGAGATTTGAGGATGGTAAGAGCAAGGACGTCATTACTGAGGAGGTTGTTGAGGACGGTGAGACGAGACACAAGATCGTTACTATCGTTGGTGCTGAAGATGGTCTCGGTGTTGAGTGTTTGAAGGGTTCTGGTTTGATTGCCGGTGCCACTTCAAGAGCTTACGAAGACATCTTTACCATCACTTTAGTCACTTGTCGTTCAGTTGGTATTGGTGCGTACTTGGTTCGTCTTGGACAACGTGCTATTCAAATTGAAGGACAACCAATCATCCTCACTGGTGCCCCTGCCATCAACAAGCTTCTCGGTCGTGAAGTTTATACTTCCAACTTGCAACTTGGTGGTACTCAAATCATGTACAAGAATGGTGTTTCTCACATGACTGCCAATGATGACTTCGAGGGTGTTTCCAAGATCGTCGAATGGATGGCTTATGTTCCAGACAAGAGAAACAGCCCTCTACCAATCGGACCTGCTGCTGACTCTTGGGATCGTGATATTGTTTACACTCCACCTGAAAAGCAACCTTATGATGTTCGAAACCTCATCGCTGGTAAGGAAGACGACGAAGGATTCATGCCAGGTCTTTTCGACAAGGACTCCTTCGTTGAGACTCTCGGCGGATGGGCAAAGACTGTTGTCGTTGGTCGTGCTCGTCTTGGTGGTATCCCAATGGGTGTCATCGCTGTCGAGACCCGCTCAGTTGAGAACATCACACCTGCCGATCCAGCAAACCCAGACTCGACCGAACAAATCTCCAACGAAGCTGGTGGTGTCTGGTATCCTAACTCCGCTTTCAAGACTGCTCAAGCTATCAAGGACTTCAACAATGGTGAGCAATTGCCGTTGATGATCTTGGCTAACTGGAGAGGTTTCTCTGGTGGTCAACGTGATATGTACAACGAAGTTCTCAAGTATGGAAGTTATATCGTTGATGCTTTGGTCAAGTACGAGCAACCAATCTTTGTCTACATTCCACCATTTGGTGAGCTTAGAGGTGGTTCTTGGGTCGTCGTTGATCCTACAATCAACCCAGAATTCATGGAAATGTACGCTGATGAAGACGCTCGCGGTGGTGTTTTGGAACCAGAAGGTATTGTCAACATCAAGTACCGTAAAGACAAGCAGTTGGAGACCATGGCCCGTCTCGACCCAGAATACGCTGAACTCAAGAAGCAATTACTCGACAATGCTGCTGGACAGGAGAAGTTGGCTGAAATCAAGGCTAAGGTAGAGCAAAGAGAGAAGGCATTACTTCCTGTCTACAATCAGATCTCGCTTCAATTCGCTGATCTTCACGACCGTGCTGGACGTATGAAGGCAAAGGGTGTTATCAGAGAGTCATTGAAATGGAGAGAGGCTAGAAGATTCTTCTACTGGCGTGTACGAAGACGTGTGAACGAGGAGTATATCCTTAAGCGCATGTTATCCGCCAACTCAAAATCACCAACTGGTACCAGGCCAGAGAACTTGAGAAAACTTGCCGCCTGGACTGCTATTCCAGCATTCCAAACAGATGATAAGAGTGTAGCCATGTGGTATGAGGAGAATAGAAAGGTTGTTCATGAGAAGGTTGAACAAATGAAGGTTGAGGGTGTAGCTGCCGAGGTTTCGGCTTTGCTTAGAGCTAGTGGACCTAGTGCTAAGGGAGGATTGAGTGGTGGTGCTATGGCTGGTATTAGACAAGTCTTGTCTATGTTGCCAGTTGATGAAAGAGAAGAGGCATTGAAGTTTTTGGGAAGACCTTAAGGTTGGGGTTATGAATGCCATGATTTGAAACGAGGGTTTCGACATGATGATATGATCATTTGAGATGGGGGATCTGGGATGGAAAGAGGATTAGAGGATGATACAACTTTTACTCTGTACTCTATTACAATTTCTTTCGTTTAAGCCATGTCTTTGGTATTTTGATAAATGAATGGTCGGTTTATAGTCTTTAAGCAATGCATTGCGTCGCGTAGTTTGAAGTATGAGAAGATATAATTATTCATCAATATTGGGGTTTTCACATGTGATGTAGTTGATACCTTTTGTGAATTTGATTAATGAATAAATTCATTGACTTGTATTTGATATTACTTGAATGATAGGTATTCTCAACCAGCTCAGTACCATGCCTTTCACTAATATATCAAGCCTCGCAATTAATCACCATCTACCTAGGTATTTATCATAACAACAATAATAACAATAAAATTAATGTTCAAATTCATCACCTCCATCATCTCTTATCTACCTAGTATCTATCTATCTATCTCCCCATGGAAGAACAATTCCTAGGATACTGAACGGCTCTCTTAATCATGCTCTTCAAGGTATCACCATTGACGCGATGGACATAGTGGACCTTGCGCAGGCCGGGCGGCATCAGCGCTTCTTGGTAGGCGTGGATGTTGCCGTACGAGGGGGAGCCGTAGGATGTGTCGACGTCGATGTAGACTAGGAGGGGGAGGGGGGGTGTTAGTGAGGGGTTTGTTAGTGAGGGGTTGGAGATGGAGGGTTGGAGATGGAGGGTTAGATATGTAATTTGTAGGATGTGGAGAATCGGTGTATTCATTGCGTCGCGTACCATGATGGATGTAATTCTCTTGGGGTTGAGGGTTGAGGGTTGAGGGGGAAACTTTTCTTCGTCTATCGAATGCATGCAATAGTGGGGAGGGAATTGAAAAATTGGGAGGGGAGGAGAGGAAGGAGGAAGGGGGAAGGATCAAAATTAACTTGTAGTTTGTGGAATTCTCCACAGTTGATTGATCCATTTACCATAATCGCCGCAGCAGTCTTGTGGGTGGACGGGGGAGGTGGAGGAGAGCTGAGGGAAGAACTTTCTTCTACTGTCTACAAGAGCCGGCGGAGCTTTCTTCCATGTCGTTTGATGGGAGAGGGATGAAGCAAAAGTGCCCAGAGAAAAATAACTCACAACTTGTAGAATTCTCCACAATCGATCCATCAACCATAATTGCCGCAGCAGTCTCATCCCAAAATGGGAATTCCGTTCCATAATGTCCCCACACCAATTCCGAGTAGGGATTACTAACTTCCTTAATCTCGTCCAAGAAATCCTGTGTGCTCATGACCTGATTCGCGACATTACCTGCGAAAGTGATTTTGGGAAAGTTGGCCGTGAAAGCAATTTTGGCGGCTTCGGGATCGACCATCAAGTTGATGTCGGAGCTGAGGTCGGCTTGTAGCACGCTGCCGGTTACTTGGAGGAGGTTGTCGTCGATGTAGCCGCCCATGATGACGAGTTCTTTGGCGAGGGAGGCAAAGTTGTCGTCGGAGCGGACGGCGAGAGCGACGTTGGTCATAGAACCGCCGGCGTCTGGGTGGGGAGTTAGTTTTCGAGTCAAAGTTGAATTACTAGAAAATAAGCAAGATTTGTTCACTTACATATGGAAACTTGTCCGGGATATCTATGCACCATTTCAATCATAAATGCACTGGCACTCTGACTTTTCTTCAATCCATTAATTGAATAGTTACTTGGCATTCCTTCTACAAAAGCCCCCTCTACGACTCTGAAAGGGTTATCTCCCGATGTGGGATCACTTCCTTCTGCTTCTGCTGTAGCATTATACGGAGCAAATACACCCTCCCAAGGAAGTTTACCATGAACCGCTTCCCATGCTTGGAATCTCGTGGCGGTATTGATAAGCGGGAATGTAGAGCCCGGAACTACGGGGATACAGCTAGTCAGGTTACCGACAGAGAGGGTAGCTAGTGCATGCAGTGCGACTTGGTGTTGCCATGTATCTGCGGTACCTGAAAGGGGAGGGAATTGTCAGCTGAAAGGTAGCTATGATAATGAGAGGATGAGGAGATACGCACAAGATGTTAAACCTAATACTTCCCATCCGGCCTCGAGAGCGATGAGGAATGGAATGAAGCCAGTCGAACTCCAATCATTGTCCATAATGACATATTTGGTCGCATTATTGGTAGCATAACTAGTTCCATATCCCAGAGCACTCGAACCACAGACCAAACTTCCCAGGCCCAAAAGCCCAGAGACGATCCGTGAACTTATCATCTTGTCTTATCTTGTCTGGTCTCCGCGTAACAGAAAGGGAATTCTCAAGATCGAACGAAACGAAAAGGTGAAGAGAAATCTCGAGAATACTCGTCACGAGATATATATATGAAGTTAAATGACCTACCCACCCTACTCCTTCAATATCATATCTAGCTCAACGGACGTCACCGAAAATTCTTTTTTCGTACCCACTGCTCCTCGTGGGAATCGAGAGAGATCGTCAGGAAACAGGACAGATGCGGTTACCTAAACGATTTTGTATCTATCGCTGTGCCCCACATAGATATTGATTGCACCGACTCTATGAAGTAATCAGAGACTCTTAAGGTTATCGTGGTGGAAAGATGGGGGCTGGAAATGCCGCGATTTTACCGGGTATGGTATGGTATGTGATACGGATTGGAGATTGGAGATTGATAGAGAGAAAGATGAATTGAGGGAAGATCCTAGTGTGTGATACGAAGGAGAAAATTGGTGGATGTTTTTCGTATCTTTGGAGATGGCTGATTGTATTTAAATTTGGGAGAAGGATGAGAAAGAAGCTGAGCTTTTTCTCGTGATGTTGCGGTGCGGAGAAGATCACAAAAATACGTTTCCAGTTTAAATCGGAATCGTACTTTCCTGCTTGGAAGATCACATTCCTGGCCCCGAGGTACAGTAGTGTTATCGATATGTAGTGAGTTTATTTAGGAAAGATCGATAGATGTAACTAAATTGACCGCTCTCTTTCGATGTGTTAAAGTAAACGCCATCTGATGAACTTTCTTGAGAGGATTGCATTTACATGAAATCAGAACTTAACGGTAGCACAGACAAACTGCCTTGATCAGAGCATTCAACGCTGTTCATTTTGCTTACCTTTTCATTTTTCAATTCTGCCAATCTGCTTCAATTGTTTGTATTTGAACAAGTCGAGAGAAATTCGTCTTAATTTTCGTGTCTTTGCTTGAATTGATTCTGCATACTATGGGACCATAAAACTGCCGATCGGCAACATCTCTCCAGCGAGACTGTCTCGCTGCTGTCGCTCCCTTTGCTTTTTCACACAGACATCTATGTGTCTTACTGCCTTTAAAACTTCAGACAGATATTATGACGTAAAACAATGGGCTGAGAAGATTATGAATGAGGCGCGAGCTTTCTTGTGGAAAGCTAATCTAAATCACAAGAAAAAGAATACCACTTTCCAGCGTGAAGATTGAGGAAGGTCCATCAGAAAGGAACACTGGTACAAAGCCAACGTCCAAGCATAATTTGAGGAAACAGTCGTCATCGAACTATCCTAAACTTCACAGATGGTTGATGGACGACTGGAAGATGCGAGGTCTCCTAGTCGGAAATTCAATGCGGGGTCGTCATGCCCTTGTTCTATCGCGCGCTAAACACCCCTGAAGATGAAACGAGAGTCACATGTCATTCAGCAGTGCTGGAAAGAACTGATGAGTTGACGGATTTCATGTATACTTCTGAAGATTGGTTTCACTTGAATATCTGCATAAGAGGCAAGTCATCATTGAAATATACAGACTCTGCATCTTATTACTATGTAAGACTTTTTTCCACCAAAGTCAAGATACAGTCTCTCAAATTCGTCCATCCCTGATGTATTGAGGTGATAAATCGGATATCATGCTACATTGCTCAAGGTTTTACCAGATTGGCACAGATCCAGTAGACACCTACTTCGTGCGGAAGTTAAGGACGTGAATTTCAAGAACTTAATTCACACTGAAAATATTTTTCCACGAGTAATAATGGAATCGGTTGAAAACCCCTAATCTCTTCCCATATATTATTGAAGTACTAGCCTCCAGATGCTCTGTGACTTTTCAATCAGAAAAATGGAGGTTACAATCTGCCAGATTTCCAGAGCTTCCGCGCCTTTGTTCCCTTCCCAGTTGGCTTAGATTTCTCGGGCTCCATGGGCCAAGATTGGCCTTCATCCGGAAAATAAATCAATACCGCCATCGAATTATTGTTGCAAATCTCAGTCTTCTGATACTTCCTGTGAGAAAGAAGCCACTTTTGACCACCGTTGGAAAGTAACCAACGGTACAAGTTTGAATGACGATAAGACGCAGCTAGTCTCTCCCTCTGGCGAGTCCAAGACTCCCAGCTCAAAACTTCATTCTTAAATTGCCGTGCAGCGAGACGAAACCAGTTATCCACGCTCACACCGAAAGGTTTTGGAACATGATAAATCAATTTATACGTCTCTTCATCATGAGTATTCAATCTCTTGTAGTCTTGCCATTGACAAGCCAAAGTTTTTTCCTCCACTCCTGGAAAGTCCCCATACACAGCACGCGATAGAAAAGGTGTTTCAATAACCCGACTATTATGGCCAATACGACGGTAGCCTGGGCCAATCCAGGTTTCAATCAACTCGATAAAACGTATTTCATAGAAGTCAGTACCGAAGTTAGTAAATCTCTTCCATGGTTTACCCTGGTAGAGATTCCAGCAGTTTCGACATGTAAGGGCAAGACAAGTGATGGAAGTCATTTCATCTCGCTCGAGTAGTATATCGAAGAGTATGTTTATAATGTCGAGTGGGAACCCTTCGAATTCGCTCTTTTTGGTTAGGACAACATTATCTAGCAGGTAGACATGTTAGCTTTTGATGCAATCGGGTGTTGTTTTTGAAATGATAATGGCAAATATTAGTTGTCACAGGGAGTGAACTTTACTTACTGGTAACTGCAACCAATTCAGTTCCCGGTGATTTAGACATAGCCTCTTGGTTCTGCTTTTTAGGCTTGGGGCAGATTTTCCAAACCATTGTGCGTTTTGAGTATTTTTCAATCTTGGTTTCTTTCGTGTTTCGAAGAGTATCTGAAATTATCAGAAAGTAATCGACGTCTGTTGTGTAGTGTAAACTTTGCTCTTGTTGAAGGGGACCAAGAAGCTGATGTGGATTTTGAAGAACGTTGTGTGGGGGTTGATATCCTTAAGTAGAGTTCGATTGAAGTCAATACCGTATCGAATGTTCAATACCCACGACGTATCTAATACTTTTTACCGCGTTGAGTTTCTGGGCAGCAGTGAGACGATTCACTTTACCGAAATTTGTACAGCCGTATTGCTACCGCAAGTTTTCTGCCTGGGGCCTTGCATATACAACAATCACGAAATAGTGGACCGCTTGATGAGCCGACTATTAGATTGAATGGAAATTATTGCCGTAGCTCGGGAGTTATAATATCTTTATTAAGTTGGTGGTATTTTGAAACTCACAGTAGTAGGCACACCAGTACGTAGACCTGCTACGCTCTTCGTATCTCACAATGGCAAATTCTTTTCGAATCTAGAGTGCATCAATGGAGATCAATCAAGTAGATTTGAGGAACCAGTTTGTGTTTCTGGTTTGAAAGGTCTGGAAATTCAAGCGATAAAAGTCACTGATGAGTTAGATTTTCATGTTTACTTGTATTTCTGCCAAAACTGCGATTCCTTGCTAATGCCTATCTTGAATTCTCTCAACTAGAACTAGATATTTTGAGTATACCTGACCGCGCTGACCTCTGCAACATAGTCTGAAGAGTCCATCCATTTACCTAAACAAGTCAATCTCTTCAGTATAACTAAACTTTGATTACAAAGCCCGAAGGATGGTATAAAACCACCCGAAAGATCGAAAAAAGCTTCCTCCCATATATCGCAACCATATAACCTAAGTTTGCACCCTCTGATCCACAGTCCAGCCTATTCATTGTTTCTTTGAACCTCAACCCCGTCAGCAAAAAGAAGAAAGTACTGTTCCCAATCTTGCTTTGAAGCTTGAAGTATTGCCTCCCAAAAACACATACGCCTAGTTGTATTGAGCACATTACCACGCGGATCATGATCTGGAATCCGTGTGCTAACGTGCTTTCCCATGAAATACCAAAGGTGAGTTTTCTGCATGTTTGTAACTCTTGAATACTGGTCTTTGACCGCAAGATTGGTCATTCTCAAGTTCTCTCGAATTTGATCTTGGTCGGGTGTTTGACCGAGCATTGTTTGTCCAGGCATTATGTGTCCAGTCGAAGTTACTCCGGGGTATGGTATTCCATGTAGCCAAGGTCTAGTATCCAACGGTGGAGCCATATTGACTAAACGAACCGGAAGCCCCGTCGACGTGAATGTACTCATTGTTAGTCCAATCACAGAGATCCCGGGCATTACGACTGGTACATATTGCATAAGATTGCTACCGACTGTGGATAAATCTGGAACAGCATCTTCAACGTGTTTGACAAATTGGCGAACTGCTGCAAGATACCAATCGGTTCCCATTCCAAATGGATTTGGCAAGATAAGTTCTCCGATTGTACTTCCTTGTCTTGATATAATGCTGTGATAGTCGCTTGTTCGCTGGATCAGATCCCACTCTTTGTGAGAGCCGGCTTCATCTCCATAGACAGAGCAAAGAAGGAATTTTTGGAGTCGCTTCGAGAGTCGGTACTCTGGAACCAACGAATCGTGTAGAAGTTTTGCGAGGGTAGGCGGAAACTCCTTCTGGCTAAAAGGGTATGGTGGTCTTGAAATGAGCAGTACTCGTTCTGGGTGAACTGAGCAGAAGAATCTATAATAAGCTCGACCTGTGATAGCGAGACAGACTGCCGTACATTCGTCGTGATCGTTAAGAAGTAGTTCGATGATTTGGAAGATGATTTCGACGGGGATCCGAGGATCTGCAGATACACGAGTTAGTGACAAGTCTAGTATGAAGCTGCAGTAGTGTGATTGATCTGATCGTCTTAATCGAAGAGGTCTGTAGCTTACCTTCGATCTTTTGTAGTTGCCGGTCCTCGATTTGGCGAAGCCATTTTTCAACGCGGGACTGAACCTTGGGATGCGCTGTTGTTACGATATCATATTCCCATTGATTTTCTAGAGTACTGCCTTGCTGGACCCCGTGTTCAATTGAAGAGGTCATCTTGTTGATCTGCTATGTAGTATGACTATGGTAAAAAAAAGTGATGTCGAATGTTGTTTGCTGATGCAGAGCTACCTAGGTAGAGAGATGAAGCAGTAAGCGGAGGTAATCATTATTCTGCCTACTTTCTAGCACTTTTAGGGTAGAACTGAATGAAAGGGCTTATCCTATTGGCAGTGAAAGCTCTTTCATTCAAAAAATCAATTTCATCTTTAGTTCATCTTCAATTCAACATTCACTTCGAGAAACTGAATACATCTGTGAGCATCCTGGGATTATCTCGGGGCAATAAGGGGTAGCTCTTTGAGCCGAGGCCACCCGAAAACATTTTTGGATTTGCTTGTACAGCAATGTGATCAGGACTAAAGCCACCAATTCTTTTATTGGGGGTAGATACATCGATGCTCATCAACATTAATTTCTAGCCCGATACCAAGTATTCAAAACACACAATCAAGAATGATGAACAGTATTGTCCTTCATAGCAGCGCCTCGTCCTTGAGACGGCGGCCTACAGGTAAAGTCCTTGAATTCCTTGGAGTTGCAAATTTTGCCTCTTTCCATTGTCTATCAAACTAACCTATTTCATTTTGTTTCAGAATACAAAGCTGAAATTATCCATTTCTATACCTTGACTTATCAAGACCTCCGCCAGAAAGACACGTTAAGACTATCAATTGATCAATTGGAAAGGAATCTTGTTCCGGGAGAAGCAGCTGCCGACGAAGAAGGTAAGATCAAATATAGGTTCCCCAAATAATGCTAATGCGATTTACTCAATATAGTACCGAGTAATGGTTCAACAGTTACAGCGAAAGCCCGGATACAAAAATGCGCGACAGCAGAACTATCCATTGTTGAAAGCGCACCTACCGAAATCATCAACAAGATATTGAACAATCTCCTCGAAGAAGACTTTCCTGATATCTGCTCAGCTCTTTGTTTCGGCCTGACTTCCCGCAGAAATTGGACAATACTTCGTAACCTGGACCATACAAGCTACCTCAAAGAACATATGGACCATATTCCGAGTATTATCGATTTCAAATACGACAAGATTCCATTGTTCAATCCTTACCATGAGAAAGCTGGGTCAAACTCTGTCGTTGAAGAAATTAATGAGAATGAATTTACTTTCAAACACCAGAGCTTTCACCATCTCTTCCCCCGTTTCTTTAAATCATCGCCTATTGTCAAGCGTTCTCTTAGCCCTTCTCAACGCAAGCAAATCGTGTTATTTAAGGAGTGGATGGGCCCCAAATATCGTCCTCCAACTTCTTTGCTCATCCCTTGCTATCTCTCTTGTGCTGTATATGGGGAATCGGATGAAGAAAGTATTGAAGAAGAAATTCTTGAGGGTAGATTCTATGATTTCATAATGGCTCAAGCAATGATGTGCAATTCCCGAAACCCCTTTGGACTAGGTGATATATGGGATGCTGTAGTTAACTCGAATTGGGACTACTAGGCAATATCCGATTCTGCTACGCATCTTTTCACAGTATTAGGGTAAGAGACTGGAGAAGGTTGATAGTTGGGTTGTTGGCAATTGGCATGGAATACAAGATTACCAACTACGTTCAACATTTCATCCGTCGACTTCTACTATCAGAGGCATTTGCATTACATCTTACACACTCATCGTGTCATAAAGTATCTTATCAAATAAAACTGATACTTTCATATACCGAATTAGACTTTCTGACTTGTGAGACTTCCATGTAACCTCTCTCTGGCTATCAAATTAGTGAAATCACAAAGTGTTTTCCTGATTTTATAGAGTAACCATGACATGACCTAACTTAACAGCATGAACGGCTTAAAAAACTGCAACAAATCAACTAATTTGCTCTACAATATGAAAGAGGCCAATCAGCAACCAATTTAGTATCTATTTCTGTTAATTAGATCACGTTTAGGCCTAAATGTAGAGATTTAGATAAACCAATGAGAGCATGTTAAGCGAATTTTCTGTAAACCCCGCACTAACCATTCACAGATGTAACCATGCTAGCATCTTTAGGTAATCTTGATTCTGGAACAACTCGGCCCTTGAATCATTTGAGGCATTCCAAGGTTCCCCGCCGCCAAAAAGGTCAACTCTCCAACAACATCACAAAGGACTGTCGATCCTTTCCTTGAATCTCCATTACATCTACCTTCGATATACGCAAGAAGCAGATACCTGCAGCACAAATACAAGTTCAACGTTCAAGATGCCTCCTCGGCGTCTCCTGCTTCCGAAGTCAAACCAGTCCCAACCTTTGGAGTCAAACGAATGGAATGTAGACGACTTTACAGCCAACTTTATCTTGGAAACTTCGGGACCGAACATAGTCAACGTCTCAACAGCTAACAATGGCCGACCTCTTCGCTTTGCTCCTGCAGGATTTTATGGCCAATCTTTTGGCCCCGCTCCTGGAAGAGGTAATAGCTCTGCGCCTGACATGCAACCGTCCTTTCCAGTTCGAGGTCCACTTACTGCAAGCACCAGTCAGGATGATGGAGCTGAAAGGCTGCGCCAGCATTTGATGAGCCTTCGTGAACTTTCAGTAGCACGGGGCCTTGACAACGTTGAAGAAGTTCTCGAACCTGACCAAAGCCAGATTAGATGTACGTCGCTGCAGCTCTTCTCTTCTTTCTTCTACTCTTACCCTCTTTGGCCTACAGGAGGGTTTATATTAACTAAATATTTACTAATATCTCGCAGATGCAGGGACATCTGAGAAGAGACCAGCAGAAGAAACGAAATTGGAGGAAGACGGAATCGGCCCTCAACCTGCTCGTAAGAGAAGATACAATACAGCTAAGAGAAGTAATAATATTGCTAAGAGAAGAGGTTGGACTCTACCATTTCATAGCTGTTACTGTGTTTTGATTTTGCGTTTTCCTTTTTAACTCCCAACCACTTCAGCTGCCTGTACTGTCATATTTTGACAATCCTTGGTGCCATTTTATCTACGGTTCAAAACACTAAAGTAGGAGCCGTGTCATGATTTCCTGACTTGCAGTGGTCATTCTTGTTAGAGGATACATCAGGTCATTTTTTCATTCGTTCTCTATATTCTCTCCTCATTATCATGCGTTCAATCACCTGAACAATCACTGCATCCATATTCGAACACTCATCATTCATCCCAGCCTTCTTAACTCAGCCTCTCCTACTATTCATTCTCAATGCAAGAGTTTCAGCTAACACCCTTCCCATTTCTAGCCGCGAAATTTGATTTCCCCACCGAAATCATCCGTCTCATGCTCCGCTGTCTCATCTCCGAACATCAAACTTTCGAAAGCGACTTCTGCACCGCCGTCTGCTTCGCCCTAACCTGCCGCACCCACTGGGCAATCTTCCGCTCAATCCACAGTGCCAAGGTCCCTATCATGATTCAATCTCCCGGAACATTGAACCCTAAAAAAGCCAGCGTCCCCTACAGACTCGGAGATCTCCTGATCAACTGGATGTCTCCAAAATACCGTCCATTGCCCTGCACACTAGTAGACGGCAAAATGGTAGTTCAGGACATCAAGTGCATTGAGGTGTTTGTCAGGGCTGCTGTATATCCTGCTGTAGGAGGCGAGAAAGATAGAAGGCTCTTAGAAAGAATGGCAGAATTTAAAAGTAACCGTTTCAAAGACTTCTACCACGTCTACCATAATAGTCTTCGCTCATCAAACCCACCAGGTCTCAACTGGTTTATTCCGAATCCATTCAGAATGGGCGAGGAATGGTATCCTGCCACCGCGCATGTTCTCAAACATACTATCTTCAAATGGAAGTCTGATTGCCATTTGGAAAGAGAATACCATTGGCTTCGTGACAGGGAGGAATATAGTCGACATTATCGGGTCTGGTCGGGTTACAAAACCTGGATGCTGAGAGAGTGGGTTGAGGCGCAACCGGAAGCAATGGCATACAAGAGATCTCGTGGCTTGGGTGAAAACAAGGCGAAAGTCGGTATGAGAGATGGGTTTGAGATGTTGAAGTTGGTGGATGTGCAAACGAAGGAGCATAAGAGTAAGGTTAAGCAGGTTGTTAATGCGATGCTGGGGTTGGTTGAAGGCCGTCCCTTTTACGGTCATGAGTGAAGGAGGGGATAAAATTTATGTTGCCAGCCTGCTCTGTTAGGGCTGTGATCTTCATGCAGTGTGATTACTGCTTCGAAAACTTTCACTTCTTTCCGAGCAATTACGTCGAAGTAATGACTACTCTTCCATGGGTAACGTCAACTTCGGCTTAATGCATCGACTTTTACCTGGCGGGATTGAACAATCTCTTGTTGGCAAGCCTGGGGACAGTGGATACGGATAGGATAGGATATGACATGGATATGTCATTGTCTTCAGATTGCCAACAATAGCGTTGGATTGTTTAGACCGTCTTATTTTAATTTAGTTTATGATGAACAACGAATCTCCTCTTTTCTCATCTTATCGAGTTTCTGATGTGCAACTATGGTCATATGTGATAACATTCGAGACAGGTAGAGAACGTTTTCAACAATGCTGGATCAGTAATACTACCTTGCATCTTGCATAATTATCGATTAGTATACTTTAAAAATACAAGAGATTGTGATATGTTTTGATACACATTCTCTACATATAGAGACTAGATGTACATAATACCGACTCACTGAGTTTTAATACATGCGATGAGCGACATGTATACAGAGCTTGAAGTCGAATTACTGATATGTCTCCAGAATAATCAGTCAGATAATCTGGCAATGCAATGATATATTTCTTGTTATTATAATTCCAAGTCGAATCCAAGAGTATATTTAATTTTCCCCATTCAGATATCTAACTCTCCTGCCCCTATTAGAAGCCCAATCAAACACAACATACCCAATTTCCATCTTATCCCATCCTACCATTCAAATCACAAGCAATCTTCAACTTAACACTACAGTATTCCTGAGTCTCTAATTGATCGTCCTTCCAATCCCGCAGAGCTGAGTGTCTGTCTAGACTTTCACGCTCGCGTAGATTCGATATAATCAAGTATGTTTTGATCAAAGAGGCAGAGCATCTGATATCCAACCCACAGCCCGAATCCATCTTAAAATTCCACATTTCAAGAATCTACGCACAGCAGGATAAAAATCCTACCCAATCCCTCGGGAAAAGGGAAGGAAGCCGAATCGATAAATCGATGCAGCGACATACATCAATACATTCCATATAACCCGATCAAGATACCAGATCGATAAACCCGTTGATTAATTTCCACGCCAATTCTTCATTCTCACATTTCTCGCTCAATCAAAAGAGACTATGGAAACATGATCAATAATCTACTAACTAGTATGAGTCCATCCCACCCACAAGATACTTCCCAGCCCAGCTCTCCTTACATGTAACCGAAAATATCTCATCATGTGATATCATACCATAGGTTACTATACTAGGTCGAGAATATATAAATATATATATAATCTCGACTCTCTAATAAGTATATATTATATAGATTAAGATCTACTCTCCCTTTAAACTATTTTAAATTCTCACTATTATATATACCTCTTTAGTCCTTTTTACTCCTCTATTTCTCTAACGATTATCTATTTTCTCTTTTTCCTCTTAATATATATTATACTGAGATAGATCGTTAGAAACTAGTAACTAGTAATGATATATCCCAGAGAATCTAGATATAACTCCCTCGTTTCTAGATACTCATCGATATTAAATTTCATATCTAGTATATCTATTTATAATAAGATCTTTTTAAATACTCAGTTTAATATCTTCATAATCAATTATTTCCGATGACCTCATAGTCAAAAGATCGATGTTCTCAACCAATCAAAATGTTAGGGTATGACACTCACGTGATTTTGAGAAAAGGAAAAATTTGTTGCACGTCTAAGATTTGAGAGTCGATACCCTGGTGACCTGCGATTTCAGAAATATGGGGTGGGTGGTAGGTAGGTGGGGCTGAATGGATATCTATCATCGACCTATCTCTGTTGCTAGTGCTTTTGGAATATGGTGTATGTTGTTTTGAGATGTGGGATGATGTTCATATTTAGATGATTATGCTGTTTATACTTTTATGCTTCTATTATTCTATATACCTAGGTATGCTTTAAGAGTATCATACCTTAAGTGCAAGTAACTGAGTAAGTGTAGAACTCAACTCAGATAAATGTAACAAGAACCGGATTCATACCGATATTCCCTCTCAACACACCTCTCCGGAAAGCATACCCGAGATTTGTAAAGGGGAGAGAAGGTAAAAAGATCACACGTTCATATGAGGCATTTGGAACTTGATCAGACGCAACCAACACATCTACTTGTTGATTCTTAGATTTGCGTAAAATGTCCAATGAAAGACCTGTGAAACATAGGCATCGTGGATGAATTATGTAATTAGAAAGGGTTATTGATGGATAAATACCGATGGTGTTTGTAAAGTGGTATTGATTGCAACTTCAGACTGCAAGCAGCTGTTTCAATCTGATTAGCTCATTGTATACTGTCTTGACTGTACAACTGAGATTGACATTGACTCGTGAAATGATAAAGTTCCCTCGTATGACTTCGTATCTGTCTGCAGGATCTTAGCTCAGCAGCCTCAGCTACCCAATTCCTGGGCTTCACTTGAAACTAATATGGGATTCGGTTAGATCTGAGCCACGTGGTGCATGATATACAGATTAGAGGATGGTATGACGAATATTGCCTGCAGGTCGAAGCATTTAGCAATTGGTGAGGTTATTCCAATCTCGCGAAGGAGGAATGCGATAAGATGATCTTTCTTGGGTGTTTCTTGGAGGTCTCGGGGAATTTCTCAAGGTTCAGCTCCCAGCTCTCAGCTCGCAGCTCTCGAGGGAGAAATGGCCATCATGGTTACCATCCAATAGTTACGGTCACTTTATTAATTGTGTGATCATGATCATCCAAAAGGAGACGCGGAGAGTGGAGAATGAATGATCTTTGAATGACGGACGGCCAAAACAATTAAGGAAGGAGGAAGGGTGTGAGATAAAAGCAGCATTGGATCCAGGGTCTCTTTGGCCGCGTTGAAGGGTTACATAAGATGACATTGACCGAGAGCGAGAGATAGAGGCGAAAGAATGCGAAGGAATAGGAGTTAAGAATTCCAATAGATTATTACAACATCTCGAAGAGAAGTCTGAAGGCGAATGTGATTAAAAATCAAGATGTAATCATGGATGCTCTGGAATGAATTGAATTTGAATTAATTATCATTCTTTCGCTGGCAAATTCTTTTCAAAATTTTGAGTAAAATTTACATAATTCTTCGACTTCTCTATGAAAAAATGATCAATTTTTCATTTCTATCGCGTGATATGGAAGCCTGAGGCATTGAATCAATCGCACGCCATTTTTAGATTTCTTTGTCGCCTCTTGGAAGTGAAGGAAGGAACCTTGGAAAGATAAGTGAAGTCAGAGTATTGAAATGAGAGAAGATAGAAAATAATACAACACTTATGATAACAATGACACTACCTAGGTAGGTACACAACACAATGCTATTTTAATTGCTTTGTGATAATATAAATCCCATCAGAATTTAGTCTTGTTAGGATAGGATTATTACCCCAGAAACCAAAATGGTGCCAAGAGAAGTACCGGCAGATACTACCACCAGTTACCACCAGTTACCACCAGTTACCACCTTCATCCACAAGTCTTCATCCCTCTCATCTGTACATGTACACCGCAGTATTCTTTCCCCCCCGGATTTTCTGATCCAAATATCCAAATATCCAAATATCCAAATATCCAAATATCCAAATATCCAAATATCCAAATATCCAAATATCCAAATATCCAAATATCCAAATATCCAAATATCCAGATATCCAAATATCCAGATATCCAAATATCCAAATATCACACCTACCTAGGTAGTGAGTGGCCTACTTATTATTACTAGGTATCTTACCTACCTTGGTCCCCTAGTCAAAACAACACCAAAGCACGCAATAAATCAAAAATTGACCTCAACTTCGCCCACCAACCCGGCTAGCTACTCAGCGACCCTCTATTTCAATCTGACGGCTGATTGCGCAAGCAACAGAAGACAAAACAAGAGACAACTCAGCAAAACCAGACAGAGGAGAAGAAAAATTATAATTGATGGTTTGATGGTTTGATGGTTTGATGGTTTGATGGCTTGACTGAAAAAGAATCTCTTCATGATTATCGAACCTTACTTTAACATATTGCGCGTTCGAGACATTCATTGCATTATCTTACTCGCCCTGGTCTTAACACCAATCCATTTCGCAATACTACTGGACCTCTCCACCATTCCTTAATATTTCACCATAACATGGTCACTATGGCGTCAAATCATGACGAATCTTCAGCATTGCGCCATAACGTCGAATTGGATCTGGAGCGGTCAAGAAGGAATACTTCAACAGGAGACATTCAAGAATTATGTTTGGCAACAAAAGCACAATCGAATCGCGAAAATCTTGATACCGACATAGTTGAATCCATTGAACCTCTTTCAATGGAAGATAATTGCAGAGCCGATCACGATCATTCAGATCCTACAATCACCATCTCGTCGACAAGTAAATTGGCTGGCCAAACCGTTGCGCCTTTCCTTGCGAAACACATCCCAGAACAATACGCTCCTTTTGGCCCCCCACAAACTACATCAATCTCACGAAAGGATCCAAATACCAAATACTGTTATCGACATCGACCGGATTCGAAATGTCGTAGAACCGCAGATGAACCTACAATGGAGAATCTACAAAGAGTGCGTCACACAATCTACCCCTCGCCCCTCACATCTCACCCCTCTTACGGTCTCCGTACATCTACTAACATGATCATAGGAGCTTGAGACCTTGTCGCAATCAGATCAACAAGGTATCTCTCATGTTTGGACACTCTTCTCCGCTGCGCCATCGAAACATCGAAACCTCATGCTTCAAGGCATCTTATCGCAATGCTGCTTTCCACAATTATCCTACCTCTCCTCCGCTGTCAAGAATCTCATTCGCATTGATTTCATTACAGCTTTACCTTCTGAAATCTCCTTCAAAATTCTCTGTTACCTCGATACAACTTCTCTATGCAAAGCTGCTCAAGTCAGTAGACAATGGCGAATAATGGCGGATGATGATGTGGTTTGGCACAAAATGTGTGAACAACATATTGATAGAAAATGTACAAAGTGTGGATGGGGCTTACCGTTGTTGGAACGAAAACGATTGAGGGATTGGAAAAGACAACAGCAATTGAGAGCTACAGGATTAGGTCTCAATGGTCAATCACCTCAAATCACAGCCATGTCAGATACTTTGCGCAATACGGAAACACGTGTGGTGACATTGAATGCTTCAGGGAAGAGAAGTGCCACTGAGTCGGAGTTCTCAGAAGAAAGTTCAAAGCGACAACGTACCAATCCAGAGGAATCATGTCTTGGAAGACCAAGATTTAGGCCATGGAAGGACGTATACAAGGATCGATTCAAGGTTGGAACCAATTGGAAATATGGTCGATGCTCGTTAAAAATATTCCGAGGTCATTCGAATGGTGTTACTTGCTTACAATTCGATGACAATATCCTCGCTACCGGATCTTATGATACGACCATCAAGATTTGGGATATCGAAACGGGAGAGTGTTTACGAACTTTGCGTGGTCACACATCTGGAATTCGAACATTACAATTTGATGATACCAAGTTGATCAGTGGAAGTCTTGACAGAAGTATTCGAGTTTGGAATTGGCGTACTGGAGAATGTATGTCTTCTTATCCGGGTCATACTGATGGAGTTGTGGGTCTTCACTTTGAAGGAAATCTTCTTGCCTCAGGTTCTATCGACCGAACAGTTAAGGTCTGGAATTTTGAAGATAAATCTACATTCAGTTTACGAGGTCACAAGGACTGGGTTAATGCCGTCAAAGTTGATTCGGCTTCCAGAACATTATTTTCTGCTTCTGATGATTGTACTATTCGCCTTTGGGATCTGGACACTCGACGTACAATCAAGACTTTTGAAGGTCATGTGGGTCCAGTTCAACAAGTCACCATTCTACCACCCGAGTATGAATTTGATGATGTGGATGTTGAAGAGGCAGATGATGGCACATCAAGTACAGCATCATCAACTGAACTCAACCGACCAATAGGAGAAAGTTGTTCTTCCTCCCAAGGATCCTCTCTCTTCGATTCTTGGCCAGCAGGTCGTCCTCGTCCTCCTCGCTACATCCTAACCGGTGCTTTGGACAATAATCTTCGCCTTTGGGATGTATCAACAGGTCGATGTCTTAAAACACTCTTTGGTCACGTAGAAGGTGTATGGGCACTTGCAGGTGATACATTGAGAGTTGTGAGTGGAGCCCAAGATATGATGACCAAAGTTTGGGATGCGAGGACGGGGAAATGCGATAGGACATTTACGGGTCATAGAGGCCCAGTTACATGTATTGGATTAAGTGATAGTAGGATGTGTACAGGAAGTGAGGATTGTGAAGTTAGACTTTATAGTTTCAAGGGGGAAGTAGAGGGGCAGGAAAAGGGGAGTGAGGGTACGGGATTTATTGAGGAGGGGACGACACCTTAAGGGGAAGTAAAGAGAAGTTTTGTTGCATTTGGGTTTGATTTAAGTTACTAGCCGACTGGCTATTTATGGACGGATGGAAAGATACCTTTTTGCAATGTTCATCGTTGGTGGTCTTCTTTCAAGATATTTATTGGCAAACATCAAATGGAATTTATGATGGGAGTTTGGAAATTGGGGTTTGATATAAATCAATGGGATATCCTTTCTTCATCAATAAATGAAGATATTTTGGAGTTCAAATAGGAAAGGGTTGGACTTGGAGTTTTGATTGTTTGTTGGATGATGAACTGGGAGGTTCTTCGGACTATGAATGGCGGATTGGTAGATGGATGGATAGAATGGTTGGAATGAAAGGGATGAAAGGGAGGGTATGATTAGACAGAATTATGTTGACATGTTTATTTAATAAACATAATCTTTACTTTGTGGTATGGGAATTGGGGATGGGGATGGATTAGATAAAATTCATTTATATAGGGAAGTTGTAATGAATATGGTGTGGAGTGGTATTGAATGAAATGAATTGAACAGAAATGAAATGAAATGAGCTGGAATTGTGTGAAATGAAAGGAATTGAAATGCATGGGATTTATACACTTTGAAGAGTTGTGGGTGAGATTCTTTGATAAATATACACATAAAGGTAAAGAAAGATATAATTGATTGATTGATTGATTGATTGATTGATGGGTAGGTATCTGTCTATCTGTCTGTATATGTTTTGGGTTGTGCTGGTTTGCTTTTTCGTCGGATAGTGCTTTTCGGATAGTGCTTTACTCGGATAGTACTTGGATGGTGCTCTACTCGGATAGTGCTTTTCGGATAGTACTCGGATAGTATTCTACTCGGATAGTACTAGGATGGTGCTCGGTTATAGCTAGGTATGTTTATGAATAGTTGAAGGTATGTTTATGGATAGTTGAAGGTATGTTTATGAAGGTATATTTATGGATAGTTGAAGGTATGTTTATGGAGAGATATTTATGAAGGTATATTTATGAAGATATATTTATAAAAATATATTTATAAAGATATATTTATAAAGATATATTTATGAAGGTATATTTATGGATAATTGAAGGTATGTTTATGGAGAGATATTTATGAAGGTATGTTTATAGAGAGATGTTTATGGAGAGATGAACTTTGTATCTCCTTTGGCTATTTAGCTATGATTAGGCAGGCTATTGGGTATTAAAGGAGTTGAGGAAGAGTGAGGAGGGGGAGTGAGGAGGGGGGTGAAGAGGGGATGAGGGAGGGGGGAGAGGGAGGAGATGGGATGAGGAGAGGGAGTGAGGAGAGGGAATGAGGAGAGGGGTGAAAATAGGTGGGAAGGGAAATGTAGAAAGAGTGAGGAGAGGGGTGAAAATAAGTGGGAAGGGAAATGTAATGAAAGTTGGAGAAAGTTCGGGATATTGGTGGGGATATTGATAGGGATATTGATGAGAATATTGATGGAGGATTGAGAAAAAGAGGGAGAATGTGTAGATTTGGAGTTTTGTAGTTTTGGTGTGAGGTAGTGTAAATAGGTGTGAGTGGGTATGAAAAAGGATGGGGATGGAGAGGGGGATGGAGAGGGGGATGGAGAGGGGGATGGAGAGGGGGATGGAGAGGGGGATGAAGAGGGGGATGGAGAGGGGGATGGAGAGGAGGAGGAGAGTAAGGAGGAAAGGAGTAGTGGTGCTTGATAGAAGTGAAAGGAAGAGTGAAAGATAAGTATAGTAGGGGGCTATTTAATTGAAGGGAGAAGAGGGAAGATTACAAATGAAGAGTTGTGTAGATATATAGGTGTATGGGGAGCTAGGGAGTATAATAGTGGAATATTGGGAATTAAAGATGAGGAGAGGGGATAGTTGATAGAGGGAAGAGGGAAGGGATTGAGGAATGGGATTTGGGAGGATAGGGGGAAGGGAGATGGGGGAAGGAAGATAGGGGAAAGGGAAGAGATGGGACGGATTGAGAGGTGGGTGATTATGTGGATAAGTGTGTGGATGATGGTTCTACCGAATTTCTTTGACATCATAACTCGAATAGAGGGCCCTTGTTCAAGAACACTGGCGCATTTAGTGTAGAGGTAATCTCTGATAGACTGCAGAAATAGGAATAAGAAAGGGCAGATGAATCAGAATCCTGATGAATAACTAGCTTGGGATGACAGGAAAATGGGATTGCGATATCCTTATGTCATGGGGAAAGACTGATAGTTTTCGGCTGTGAAATTCAATGGTCATGGCAGGTGAGCAACATCATAAGATAGAAGAAAGAGCCAAGGTAATCTCGTAGAAGTACCCCTTGGAATACGTGAGAGAATGCTTCAATCCGCGTTATAGATATAGTCATTCTTGGAACTTAATTTACTAAGGTTATAGATAGCGGAGAAAAAGATTCCATGACAAGGACTGGCTTAGGATGAGGGAGAAAAAAGACTATTGTTATTATTTTGGTGGTGACTACGATGTCTTCAAAATAAGTCTAATTGATTGATTCGTACTGTGTGTGTGTCTATTCTAGGTTCACAGATTCGAGAGCTACATGCAGCTGTGGGCTAGCAATCACGTGTGCAATTCGCTCACATCAAAACACCATCTCTCTGATCAAGTCATGCAGCTCACTAAGATATAAGTCAAACCTCAGGTTTAGTTTTAGTGTCCTTGCAAAGACATAATGAACTTCACGAAAGTATTACTTTTGCCCAACTAACCTGCTAACATCAAGTTTGCCTTTTTAACATTTTCTCAACCTATTTTCTGTTCAATACAAGTTAATAAGTTTCAAACATCAGGTAGTTATATTAATCAAATACATCAAAAACTTTAGGCCCATTAATAGTCAGGTTTTTCAAGCATCTGACTAGGTACCATATGTTCATCAAAGCTAAGCCAGTGCCTTGATGAGTTGAAGTTAACCTGAACTAGGTTGTCCAATTGAAAATAAGAGATTTTTTACCCAAGCAAATTAGCCGAAACAATTAAACAGCCCATCAGTCACTGTAATCTCAATCAGATTTTATCATCCTCCTTCTTTATCTTCCACACATTTCAAAATCAACATACAGATATCAAACTACAAATTTTCAAAGTAAGCTCATCATGATGGTCAACAAAATAGGTTGGATTCCCCCAATTATGAACGTTTTCTCAATACTTCCCTTGCAATGGAAGCAATTCTCAAAGAATACTCCCTGAATCAAGAAGTAGCCGAAAGAATTGCTCTTTGGATGAAAGGATGCCCTCCCATAACATCTAAAATATCCCCTTCGTTATCAAAGGTCATGGATATCATGAAATCTTTCACAGCTTAGGACACGGTTGCTAACACTAGAAAAAATAATCCTAAGAATTTACAGAGTGGTAAGTCTCTTTTTCTTCCTGCTCTCTCTGCACATACTCGCATGCTAACAGGCTGATAGAGATAAAGATGCAGAAACTTCCGACCGAAATAGTTGACCAGATCGAAATGCTCTGTCTCTGTCTTAATGATCGTGATGAGCATAATGGATCAGATGCCTACTGCCGAGCAGTTTGTCTGGGATTGACATGTCGTCATTACTGGGCCGCCTTTTCTAGGACATGGTGCCACGCTGGTATAAATATAATCATCCATAAGCCTCCGCCAACTTCAAAGATGGTTCTCGCTCTACTCTAAGAGACTTGGGTAGGACCTGAGTATCGAATTTCCTGCCATATTTCCTGGATTAGAGGGGGAGTTCTCATGTTTCTATCCCGAGAGTTGTATGGCAACAAGAAAAGTCTAGCTGAAACCCGGCTGAAGGAGAGATATGATGATTATGTGCGACTTTACACCTGCAAATCGACCCCTTCTACTGCCGGCTTATCTTCTCAGCGCATGGCTTCGTGTTGGAAAGGAGTCTTGAGTCCGTTTGGAATGGGTGAGGCGTGGTACATAGAGGCAGCAAGACAATTTTGTACCCGCTTAGATTGTTGTCTTGTGGCACCAGTATTGGGTGATACTATTGCCTCGGATCCTGATGCATCATGGAGAAATTTTCGGGCTAGTCATCTTTATGAGTGGACTTATTCTCAGGAGCTCTTTCCCACATCAAAGTTTCAGAAAAACATCAAGGAGTGGCTTCGACTATATGAAAAGAGCTTTGAAGAGCGCCAGGGCCATCGTCGTTATAAGGTGCATCAGGGCGTCTGGAATCCCGAGTTTTGGTATATTTCCGTAAACAAGCACTCTGACGGAGAAAATTGAACGGTGATGGAAAATGATGCTTTCTCAATAATTGCTCAATTCGGACTCTAGAATTTTCGATAGCATGCATGGGACATGGCTAGCACATGGTGATATAGCTTATTCAATATTTGCTTGATTTATGAACAGTATAGTCAATACAGTGTTGATGCCAAATTAGCACCCAGTTTAATGAGAAAGATATTGATTGTATCATACGATTCTCATATTCCGTATTTGAGGGAGGTATACTCCATACCTCTGCTGTTATTTCGCCGTGAATCATCTGTATACCTAGGTACTTTGTTACAAAATGCAAAACACGTAAAACTTATTCTCATTGGATGTAATCTATGAGGCTGTCATATCAGTTCATGTGCTAAAATTGCCGTAAAACCTGATCGGCAAAATCGTCACTCTCTCAGCCATTTTTTAATTTTTTTTGAAAATACCCCCGACTAGGTGGCCATAATAAACTCATCAACCACAACTCGCGATCCAAAAACGAAATTTGCGCACTCCATCAAAAATTCTGAGAACGATAAGATGAATAACTCGAATTCCATTCAGACGTCAAATGTAACTGTTGAACCCTTCACTGATTCGAGGGTATCAAGTGGAGTGGATTTGAGCGGCCTCAAGAGAAAATCCGGTGCAGAAGGTTCAGAAGATGCGTATTTTGGTGAAGAGACCATTGAGCGAGAGAAAACAAGAAGAAAGATCGACCATTCGACAAGCCATTCATCCTCAATTCCAAAAGGAGATCAGGAAAGCAATCTTGGCACTTTTCCTCATGGCGAAGCCTCATCCTGCGATTCTTCAAGCAATTTTCACGCCAACTCCGCACTTATACAAGCTGAGACTAGCGAAAGAAAGATTGCAGAAGCAAATCTAGGACAAGTCGACTACGCTCCAACGATAGGTGTTGCGGAGAGTGCTACTTGGAGGGATAAAGACAATGAGGAAGAAGAAAGAGCTACTCCGTCTATAATCCAGCGAAGTAAGTCTATCTTCTCAAAAATCACCTGCACTCTAACTGAAAATACAGAAACATCGAAAACTGTGGCAGAGTCTACATCCTTCCTCCCAAACGAAGTCGTAGTCAAGATCTTCAAAGCCATCTTGCGATTGCCACGAGAGCCCGACACACCGCCAACTTCGAATCAAGACTCAAAATCAACTTTAAATTCGACAGAAGATGAGGACGATAGTCGTTGGGATAGCTATACAAATGGCGAAGTGTCATACAACCTTGGAAGAAAGGAGTTTGGAACAGATAACGATGGAATTATTGAGGCTATTTGCTTTGCTCTTACATGTCCTAGATATTGGATTGTCTTCCGCGATCTCTGGTGTTATTCAGATACCAACAAGATCGTCAAAGACTTCGGGCTATCGATGCCACAGGAGCTTGTTCTCGCACCTCTTCTAGAAACATGGATGGGTGAAAAGTACCGTCGTTCAAACCTCCTCACTATGAATCCTGCATGGTCTACAGAGATGGGCGAGGATGGATCTCAAGGATACATCAACATGTTTCTTTCAAGAAGTGTCTATGGCCAGGGGGATAATGAACGTGATCTGAAAAAGGAGCAGTCTTTATGGGACAGGTACAAGGCTAGGTCTCAAATACTAGATTGCAGTGAAGGTGATAACTTGGAGTATTTTGAATATAGTGGACAGTCTCCGGAATATTATCCTAAAATCCCGCTGCCTAGTCCTTTCAGAATGGGTAGCAGCTGGTATCTAAAAGCCGCCAAACAGTATCGGGATACGTTCATAAATTGGCAATTCACATATTCCGATTATGATTTTGTGCCGGAATTTGAGGACAATAGTAGGGACATTGGTCCCCTGAGCTGTGCAATGCAACGTTCTTGGGAGTCATTTCGAAAAACAGCAATCTTCGAATGGGTCGGAAGGATTCAGTCTACTATGGATCGTCCCTTGACTCAAGTCCAAGACGAGTCACTTCAAGTTGCAACGGACATACTCGAGCTTCATCGGGATGTTACACAACTCGATATGATAGTTGACTTTTATGAATTTGGGTATAAAGTTGGATGGGAAGAAATCTCTGGGCCTTTCCCAACAGATGATTGGGAAACGTACGCATATGACGCTATGTGTTCTACAGTCTTTTATGGGCATGACTTGTGGGAGCCGGAACTTCCTCTCTACTCGTAGTCAAGTTGGCAATATAGGTACAACTGATTATATATCCAAAATTGAATCTCACAATCTCCTTGATGTACGTGAAATTGTTATATACGTATGATATCGAAGATCATTATGTGATTAAGAACTCTTCACACATATGATCATCGAGATTTATTTACCTTGAAATCTCTTGCAATGCATATACACGATGGCACGTTGTTCATAAGCTACTACCAAGATGCAAAAATACTTGTGACTAGATACGAGAAACCATATTCCTTCATCTGGTTGACAGTAATTCCTTAGTAGATCGTCTATTCAACACAGTTACCTTTGTGTACGAGTACATTTAATCATGGTGGCATTGCAAGCATGTGTCATCACGTCCATCAGCACATGTAGCAACGATTACAGCAAAGATTCAATTCCCAAAAGGGCGTACCCAGCAGAAAGATATCAAGATGCATTTTCTTTCCAACATCTTGTACAAACTGACGGTCTACATCATCATGTCTCACGGGACTTAATCTTGTCAGTCTCTACAATCTGGACGAACGCTGGTATCCGGCTGCGGCTATCCAATCTCGAGAATTCGTGGTAAGTTGGTTCCGAGTTAAATTGAACAACATCGATTGACCCAAATACTGTGACTTCAAATAGGCTTGGTACACGTACAAATGCACCTCGTTTTAAAAACGGATTCATTGATTAGCACATGCTTCCAGTCCTGGCGGATCAATTTTGGGGCAAATTCAAGACGCTATAGGTTATGGGAAGATGATTGAGCGGGGTTTGAAGAGAGTTCTTCGTTGATTGTCTCATTCTAAGTGATTCTAGATCCAGGATTTGTGATGAAAGAGGTATGCGAGGATTTCAAGGCATGATTTGAGTCATTTTCCGAGTTAGTAGCACAAATAGAGTTGATAGATATGCTCCGGAATCATGATAGTAGGTGGCGTGCAACTTGAGACCTGAGTCTCTCTACGATATCACTTCTTATCTGATTGAAATTCTTTTATTCGACCCAGAGAATTCTTTCAAGGACGCCGCTGACTGTTAATGCCATGATCATTGACCAGCAAACTTGTTGTGAGGACCGCATATATTACTAAAAATCAAACAGCAATTTTCCAAACATGTTGGTGAAAGGTGAATGATAGTGGGAAGGGTAGAAAGTGTCTGCAATCCTCAAAATGCATTTCTCTTTACTGATTTCTTTTATGTGGTTGATTGTGCTAGAATATCTAGATTCCTTGTTGAATTTCGCTATTATACTCACTTATAGCACTTTAATGGCGCATTTGTTTATCATATGAAAAAAAGTTCCTTACCGTATTGCTAACGGGCCAGCCCCTCTAATTCAGGATATCATCTCGTACATCGCCGCGCGCCCCGCGTGTACGCGCAGTGATCCAATCAATGCTTGACTTAAAGTTACTTGTTTTTATGATATCAGCGATCAAACCTTACAGGATTTGAAACATCTTATCACTTACGGAATCTTTGCTGAGATAACTCACACATAGTTTTGTTCTATGGGCGGTCCGAACTGGTACCAACGTCTACTCGCTTAGCCATGACGCTGCGGCTCGGACCCAGTTTTGATTGGTCCGGATGCAACAAAAACTCACTAGCTAATTGAGGCGCAGATTTAAAGGTCCACGTACCTAGGCCGGGCGTGTAATTAACAAATCCAAGCAGGGAAGGTTGATTACCGTATAAAAAAGTTGTATATTCTCGCAACATTTCAAATTGTATTTTTGAAACCGAAGTCTTCAAACTCTTTACATCAAGATTGCAAATCTTGAAACGTTAACACCAGCAGCTTTCTCACGTCAAGAGGCAAGCAGCAGAGATCTGTGTTTAACTACCCTCTTTATTTACAAAGTTTCAAGAACCACGGGGAAAATTTGTCTCCCACATAATCTAAAGACCTTCAATAAATGAATCGAAACAACTACGCCACATTACAAGAACACACTTCCAAAACTCTCCTTCCATCACCTTTCAATCGACTCCAAACATCCGCCAACTTTACGAGCGCCCCATCTCAAAATGGTTTCAGAGCTGGAGAGCGCAATAGAAATCAGTCCCTCGAGAAAGAAGAAGACCTAGATGACTGGGTTCATATCATGCCAGAGTTGATCAGCGACCACGATGCTGAATTCAAATGCCATACCTCCAAGCTAGGATCTCCATTCGAGTTTGTTGAGAAGAGCTCTGTTAGATTGAAGCGTAGCAGAAGACAGCGTAGAGGTACGAGGTTTATTCAGAACACTCGACCTGGTCGGCGTTTGGAGTCGACGGAAGAGCTCAAAGGATCAAAGTTGTGAGCAGGCGGCGAGGCTCCGTTCGAATGATGAGAGATGGCGCTGGGATGCACTTCTAGGACGAATAGACTCAGAGTTAGCTGAGATGTGACACAGTGAGATTAGCAGAAGTAGTTGCGCAGGATGGATCGGTGGATGTTTACGGGTAGTTGAGCAATGGTTATCAAATATACAAAAAGGAAAAGAGTTCATTCCAGTTAATAGGTATGTATAGAAAATCAACTTTTATTTCTTACTGAGCTGGACGCTCCAGGCACCAATTTTACAACCTCCAGATAAACATAGGCTACAGGTCTTTACAAGCATCTTCACGGATAATTGAAGTGGTGTGAATTTTAATATTTATGGATGTGTGTCATGTGACCTATCAAGATACTTGTGGAATAAATTTGTGTCATCATATCATTTCACGCGATAATGCATTTTTGCAAGATTCCGAATGCTATTGATAAAACTATTGAGTTGTGTATAGTGTCACCTTTCCATGCGCTCAAAACGTGCAAAGGCCTGCTGCGTATATTAGTACGTTTATTAGTCTCCTAGAACTTTACGAAATGCCAAAAGAAGAAGCAGGAGTACCAACAAAAGGCTGTGAACATACGTTCAGGACAATGATATCACGGCCTCTAAATGAAAAGTACAGCGTACCTATCGGAGCTTTGTAAGATTGTACACATTACGGTTAAGCCGTAATAGCATATATCTCAAATGGACGAAGGCCTCAGAACATTGTCAAATTCTCAAGCCCAACTTGTGCTAGCACGGCGAGTATTACAAAGCCGGAATCGGTGATGCTGATTGATAAACCGTGCTAGAGCCGTATGTGATTGAGAGAAGATTTATATAGCTTCAACGCGCCCCGAAATAAAGGGCACTCTTCGTCACATACTCGTGAATATCCAGCTCTGAAAAGTCCGAAATTCATTTCGTGCCAATTTCAATCATTCAACATCACGCAAAATATCACGATCAGAGTTTCCAATTGAACGAGCGATCCTGCTTATGTTATCATCAAACTCAATCCGAATCAACAAGATATCTGATTCCCCCCCCTAAATATGCCAAAACAAGTCGGAAGAAAGATACCCCCGCGACCATCGCAAAAACTAAATCAGTTCTCAAGCCGTCTTTCCCATTCTCTTTACCTACTCCATTCTGAGGCCAATCTCACCCCTTCTCGGAATCACTCTCTTGAAAAAAGAAAAGGTCTACTCGCCAAAGCCAATGAGGCTCACGGAGGCAAGACCAAGAGAAGACTAGCATTTAGAAGAAAGCTCGAAAGGGGAGTTGTGCTCTGCCGAATTCGTCGAGAAAATGTTAAAAGCTTGCCATTGATATTCAATCAAACAAGTCAGCCTCGAAAAGAAGCTCCTCTGATCATAAACTTAGTGTCAGAAAGTGAGGATACAGACATTGAGGAACTAGAGAGCGAGGAACACGAAAGTGAGAATGAGACCAGGAGTGAAGATGGTACTGAAGAAGGTGAAGACATAGCCAGGCCAAATTCGAGCAGTGGAAGAAACACCCGGAGTATTCCAATCGTTGCAAGCCGTTGGAGTCGGGTGTATTCGTATCAGCATAGTAGCAAAACGGAAGATGGTGAAGGAAAAAAAGAAGATCGCTCTGTTTCAATTAGAAAATATACAGCAAAGATCAAGAGCCTGCCGCCCAATAAAGACATACCTGAAAGACACAAGGGCAGTAGCGCTGATTTCAGAAACGAAAAAGATCAATACAGTGAAGAAGACGATGATAGCGAGGAGGAAAAGGGTATTCGTTTTCCGCTTTTAGCATATACAGGAAATTCACTGAACCTTCCGATCGCTAAGGGCACGGTCCCTGGACCCAAGTATGGCAGAGAACTTTCGTTGGCACTTCAACGGCTAGAAGAACGCACTATTCCAAGTTCAAAGAATTCAAGATAAACACCTCATTGCGCGAATCATCATAGCAATGTGAATCAAAAAGGTCAGAGATACATTCATGGAAGAGAGGTTACGCCGAAGATTCACAAAATAAACGGGAGCATTATCTCATCATCAATACCAGCACTCGAGACGAAGGGACTTTCACGCGGTAAAGACATAGTGACTCGGGGAGTCAAGCGAAGAAGAAACGGCATGCCGAAGACACCAGAAGATAAGGAAGGTAGTGGAACCGAAGAAGAGAACAAAGAAGATTCTGCAATCCTTCTCGCACAGTCACATTCAACTCCCTCGAAATACACATCACCAGCACATGCCAGCATGGCTCTAGAGCACAAGTTGAAGTCGAACGCCATGCCAAGTATTGCACAAGAACAGGAGAATAAGGGACAACCGAATTATCTCTCCCATCCATCTCCTCCTTTACTAGATGGATCAAGATCGAAGCGCCAAAAGACAGCGGCTGTCAGTTCGCGGAACGAAGTGAATAAGGACATTGATGGAGTGCTTCGAGTTGAGTCCATGAATCGACCCATCCCAGAGAAAGTTACAAATCGTCGTTTGTCTACAGAAGTTATTAGAACCAAACCAGCAAGGTTTTTCACCGATCTTCCAGGGTTGGTAATTCGTCAAATCGTCGACACCGTTTGTGAGCAGGAAGGTGGAAAACTCATCTCCTCAATCTGTTTCGGGCTCACTTGTAAACTTCACTGGGCTTTTTTCAAGGCCCGATGGAGTCCTCCAGGCACTGATAGGATCTACGAGGGATATCTACCAAAAGAAAACCAAGCAATTCTCGCACCTTTGCTGCAGAATTGGGTTCCGGAAAGATATCGAATGATGTCGGGCAAAGGTGGTAAAGGTGGTCCAAGCTTAGTCCCAATGTTTCTTTCAAAGAATCAATACGGGGAAGGATATACGAGAGAAGAGGGAAGATTGGAGAAAAGATATATTGCCTGTCTCTCAATCCTCGATGCTACCAATCAAGATGGTCTACAGCTAAAGCCCAGCCGCGGCTTACATGCGATGATAGATAACACGATTGATTTGCCAAGCCCGCATGGAATGGGTCATTCTTGGTACGATGCTAGTGCCTCTGAATACTTATTTCTGGTTGAGGGATGGGAATATTCAACATTGAATGGCGAAGGTCCTGGATTCAAAGCCATTTGTGAGTCGTGGCATACTTTTCGAAATACATGTTTGTGGGACTGGGTCAATGGCAGGAATTTCAATCAGTTTCGTGAAGATTGGATGGATGACGAAGGAATGAAAGGAAGGCAGAAGGTCAAACAGACTTTAATCAAGTTTGACAAGAAAGTGAAACATTTTGAGGCAAGTAACCGTGATTTGGAAGATACAGTTATCGCTGGTGCTGTTGGTGCTGTTGATGAAATGGTGATGGAGGATATTATCCAGGTGTTATGAGTTCGTGATGGAAGCCATTAGACAGGTCAGTCTGAGGCATGGATAGGCATTAGATGAAATTTCAATATTATGTCATTTTTTTGGAACTGTCGCACAACCGCTGAGATATTTCCAAAAGACGATTGAATTTTGCCGCCAGCCGATACCATCGTCAAAAAGTTTTCAACTATTATGATTATCAAAACAGAGCCCACAGTGTATGCCATAGCGATATCCCTAGCCCTAATTCCAACCAGCTAGTAATCTTCGTCTTCATCCTCCCATAGCTTATATCCTTCCAGGAACTGCTCTTCATATGCTTCTAACTTCTGTTTCGCAGCGAAAAGCTCATATTGGCCACCATCGTTGGGCGACTCCTCCTCCGTGTAGTCCCCTACCCAGTCTTTAAAAGGGCTGGAGAAGTAATTGGTCCAGAAGCCATCCAAAGCTTCTTCCCAACGAACTCCCGATCCATACCTCCAGAGCTTTGCTCGCTGCAAGATATCATTGAGCGCTCTTTCGTTCCACTCGACACCTTCGCCGAATGGTGAGACAAGAGTTCTGTAAAGAGGGTAACCTCGACCCCCTGGTTGTGGAATTTGTAGAGTAATACGGCTGTAGTATCTGCCAGTCATAGCAGTCTCTTCGTCGCTACCTCTCTTGCCGTAAACCTGTCGTGATAGATACATCACGTTGCATTGATTGCCAACTGCCAGTGACAAGGTTTTCTTGGAGGCAATTCGGTAACTTAAACCCATCCACTTATTTAATCTTGGTGCTAATTTTATTTTAGTCAATGCTGAGAGCTTTGAGTAGTTGCGATGATGCTGTCGCTTTTTGTAGCACCAAAATGCTTTCCTGGTAAGTCCCAGGCAAATCAACGTCGCGATGTCATTCTTTTCGTAAAGCAAATTGAGAACGCGGAGAAATACTTCGTGTGGAATCACCAAGTCTGTGCCGTCATCTCTTATGAGAAAAGCTTAGCCGAGAATTAGTTTCATATCTTTTCAACCGCAAGTGCCATGATCTCGGTGGCTTACCTTGTGCTAGGTCCCTGTGTTTTGCCTTCACTTTCAGGACTCCTCCAACAACAACTCCATCCTCTCCGGCCTCTCCTTCCAGAACAGGGATGTTGCGCCGTCGCTTCTGTTGTCTGGCTGAGGCTATTTGTTGGTCCAAAGCCCTCTTATTATTAGATTTGGTGGCGGACCTCAGCACCCGCCCCGAGGTAAGCGCTTGGCTCATCATGTTATTAGATGGCGCCGAGCCTACTGGTAGCTCTACATCTTGTAGATAATGCGAGTTTAAAATATTGTTGCTCGTCATTGTCAAAATCTGGTGGTTAAAAGTCTGGTATGACTCAAGTAAACAGATAGCAAACAGTAGTCAAGAGAAGTTTTGAGAAGTTCTATGTGCGTCAATAAAGTAATTGGCAGACTAATATGTCCAAGAAAGTAATCTTTCAGTACACTAGCTCAACCTAATTTACCAGCTGCTGTAAAACGCTTATAGTCACAAGCAAACCCGGGGGCCGAGGGCCAAGGCCCGAAATGTAATTTCTGATGGCTATGACATAATTGAAGAGTGTAAGAAAGGCTTTTCAATTGTGATTAGATTAAAGTGAATAGTTTTGAAACTAGTTCACTAGAGAATGGTGAAAGTATACAAAATCGCATCTTATTTATATACTAGGTTAGGGATTGAGTAAAGCCTGTCTATATACTAGAATATATTATAACTTTAAGCTTAATTTTGTGAATCTTTGTTAAGTGCCCTTCTGAATCGAAAGCTGTGAAGAGCATATGTTATCAGTGACCATGTAACAATAGAATATAGAAATTAAAAGGCTTTGCAAAATGATAGGGGATAACAGTGTATGACACCATAATTGCTAGACTAAGAACAAAGAATAGCTAGAAAAGATCGATTGAGTTACATCACCTACTCATATAGGCATAAGATGTGGGATAGCTATCCATTAATACTTCTGTAACATACTGGGGGCAAACTCCAGTTCGGTCGACCTTAAGTTTTACGCGAGTTTTCTCCCAATATCAGGCACCGTGCAATCAATTGTTGTTTTGATATTGCAGTCTGCATTAGGAACTTCATCAATTCTTGAAATACAGCAAGACGTTGTTGGTTAAGGATAAAGATAGACCTGAAAATTAGACAGACAGTCATCAAAGTGTCAAGTAGGAAAACACACCCCTTTCTTTCTGAACACGAATAGCAATTTTTACAGATATGCATGAATTACCCATCTTGGTTAGCACACAAGATTAGTTGTACAATGGGAACAAACAGAACAGTCGTAAGATGATTGTCTTGTTTGTAATATGTCTTTGATTTTTGTCTAACGAGAAACATTTGCCGAGCTACAATCAATGCTGTGAACAACTAAACACAACACCCTACTAAAACTTCGATAAACTAACCCCAAACTCATCTTTTAATCACAGAAAGCCAAAATGATCCCTATTCAGAATACAAATATCTCATATCATCCTAGGATGGAAAACATTTAGTTTTGCATGATGCTTTTCCTTTGCCTTACTTTTGCTCTTTCTGCTGACGAGGCTACTCGTGGATTGTACATAGAATCTACTCTCCTCTACTCTTTTTTGACTCTACCTCAGTTATAAGACTATCTTCTGTTATCCTTGCTTATTGCTTATGCATGAACATCGTTACTCTGGAAATAGGATCAAGCTCTCTGTGTTCCCTCTCTGTTCTATCCTTTCCAGCAGACAACGACTTCATTGTAATAATCGATAGCTACAGCATCATACCATTCTTGACCCATACCAAAAGGCTTGGGCGGTCTGAGTTCACGTGGAAGCTTAGAAGACTATGTAGTATAGGGGAAACATGATGCTGACCTTGCTCTACATGATGCACCAAAGACCAAGTCAAATTGGTTAATTTTTCTTTTCTCGTGTTTGTAATAGTGAGCTTTGTATAGAATTATTTTTCGGTCTGTATATCACTCAGCTAATCTCATCTCTTCCTCATCATATTTAAGACCATCTCGATAGACTTCGCGAGACAAGAATAGCGTGTTGCCATGAGTGTGGTACAGAACATCAAAGTCCAGAACGCTACCATGCCCGAGGTTTGTAGTTCGCGCCACCCGATATTTGAGCGGCATCCAGAATTGGAGTTGAGATATGAGGCTCTTTTTTGATCTATGGCGCCGAGTTTTGTTGTGTTTGCTGATTCCCCAAAGGGTAGACCATATAGACCAGATCCGAGGAGTCTTGGTGGCACTGTGCGAAAGAGCCCAATTCTCAGAATTTGAGAGGCCCAGACAAATTGCAGCTACAACGTTCTGCACAGTGCTTTCCTCTGATTCTGCAAAGTTTTCTCCTGGTACATCTTTTAGAAGGATGTCAAAAAACTTTTTTTGGGAGAATTGGTTCAGTAATTATAGAAGTCAAAGTGGAGACCTTGGTATCTGAAGTGGATTGAAGTTAGCGACTATATCACAGATGTTTCATCTAGCGTAGGGTACAAAAGTCACTATGATTTACCTGCTTCACCCATAGTGTCTTTAGGGCTCCTGATTCTGGAATGATTCTCTTAGCCCTTGAGAATGCTGACACTGTGGTCAAGAGTCTGCTGAACAGCAGAAAGAGGCCTCTTTGAAGGCAAGCTTCTATTGATAGCCTTGTTAGTACCTTCGAGATCTTTAAGCTTTTTGGCCTTCTTGGCGCGTTGTTTTGCTGTGTTCATACAACCCATCTTTCTTGAAATTAGACCAAGAAAACCTTGAAAGGGAGTGTTGTCTCTGGAGGCTAGTTTATTTCATACAATTTCTATTAGACGTGAGCTAATATGGCCCTCAAATAGGCAAGATCATTAGAGACACTAACTATATACGGATTAGCCTAACAATAGGCATATCGGCTATAAAAAGAAAGAGGCCCGCAACCAAGCTAATTTTATGTCCAACCAATGTCTAAAATCAATAACACGATTTTTTGTCCGTCTTTTTTAAGAAACCTGACGTTGAAGTTTACTCAACAAATATTCAAGTCCTGATGTTGGGAGTAGGTGCTCGGCGCTGTAGTAGTAAATTTTGTCAATAAGCCGCTGAACTAGAATTTCTGCACCACTCTTCTCTTCCTGTATATACTCTATAATAGGAACTAGTGAGTAGCTTAAAAAAGCCGACTATTAGCGAATACAAATTCTCCAATAAGACCGGAAATTTGTGGCTGTATTCCCCGAGCTCCAAATCGGTTAGCCAAGGTTCACTTTCTTCTGCACAAACTTTACTGTCTCAACAACAACACCAAACTTTTGAGAGGTTTCCGAAACAGTGTACAAAACATTTTCAAACAAGATTCACATTTTAACAGCATCTATTCCCAAATAAAAATGGGAAACGAAGTATCAGCACAAAGAGTTACCTTTGGTTCACATTCACCACGTCCACCATACAAGCAAGTTCAACAAGAAGCCTCCCCGAACACAGATGCTCCTTCCACCAACAAACGCAAACGTGAGGATTCTGAAGAAGATCACTCAAGTGAAAATGTCAGCAAACACAGGAAATTGCACCAAAATGAGAATAGTGGTCATAGCACTCTCAATTCTGAGTCTTTGATAGTTATCCTGAAATGTGGTAGGTTTTTTTCACCTGTTTTTAATTTCTACCTAAATATTAACAAGATCAAAGATTCTTTATCATCACTTCAGACTGTATCTCAACAGAAGGACCCCATGAGAACAAAGAAAAATAAAGAAGAAAACAACGCCCATGCAGTTCTGAATAGGTATGTTAAAAGAGAACTGGAATACATAAACAGGGAGAAACAAAAGCGAAGACGCTTGAGAAAGCAACGGGAAAAAGCAATGGCCAGCACACCTGGACGTGATCCAATTGGAACCCCATCTTCGGCTGATCTACAAGGTATGATACTACTAAATCAGTCTCTGTCTGGTTTGATTTACTAATTACTTGTTAGCCACCACCTCGACTGTTCCTCCGACTCATTCAGTGCCTATAGCTCCTGGTACGAATCTAGATTCTAAGATCAAGGAGAAGCCCGAAATTACAGTGAAGTCCGGATTAAAAGCTTCCCCAGACACGAATGCATCAACAGGCTCTCCTGCCCAGATCAAGGATTAACTGATCGTGAAGTTGAAATTGCCAAAAGAAGTAAGTGGTTGCCCTGATTCCTATGATTACATTCTTTATTCGTTTATGATAGTTACCATAGCTAATGGATGTCTAATCAGTTCTTTTTGAAGACACAGTAGCTTATAAATTCCAATGGATTCAGATATTGGATTAAAGGAGTAGTAGTAGTAGACAAGAGAGTTGTAGCAGCAGGGAACATTGGTGGAACGGTAATTAATAGGATATACCGCGTTTTGAATATAATTTTACCTCTTCTATTGCCATAAGTAATCTCAATGAATGTTAATTTGGATTCCCTCGGGGTTTTTCAGAGAATTCCAGAGCTATTGATATGAAATGTTGAGCTTGACCTTGAGAACTCAAAATTCAGCTGTCCATGAGTCTCGACCATGGTCTGCTCTAACATAAAGTAAACTCAGTTAAATCATGCATTTAAGAACTGTGTATTTTGTTTGTACGCTGTAAACTTCTCTTGAATAAAACTGACAGGTTTCTCTTGCCATAGCTGTTAACTTGGCATATGTCCTCATCCCCACCATGTACCTAGGTAGTTCTCCAGTTCTTTGATTTAGCTCGGCTGGCTTTTAAATTTAGCCGAATCCGAGACTTTTCCCGTTCCTCTTCCAGAATGTTCATCTTCGACCTCGCAATTACTAAACTACTGAATTATTCAAATAACTCTCTTCATCAATTGGTTTGATTTGGAATTGATTGAAATCCCCACAAAACCCTAATGCAATAAATGCATTCTTCGTGTCAACAAAACTCGCAACGCTATCTTTCTTCTCAGCCTACACAACCAATAACGCGATCACTTAATTTGTGTCTTCCGATACATAAAATAAAATCCACTAGCCACAAGCATCGGCCATGGCGCAATGTTCCACAGAGATCGACATTCATGCTCCAAGGATCGTCTATCCAAACACAGACAAAGAATCAATCACGACAATGGCAGCAGCTACGCCCCACAGCAAACAACTCATACCACCTGAGATTATTCTCCGGCTCATCGAAGCTATGGTAGAAGCTGACGACGAGAAATTGAATCGACCTACAATAATCTGCCTCGGTCTTACCGCGCGTCTATATTGGAACTTCCTAAAAACACAATATCCCATGCAACAGAGATCAAGTACCTCATCATGTTTCCCGACTTCCTTGGAACGACCTTTTCTCGATAGATACGGCATGAGACGACTCGCGCAGGCACTGAAGACATGGATTGGACCTGAGTATCGCCAGGTCTCGGAACTCTTCCTCAACGAGACGATTGGCTGTCAGATCATGTTTTTACGCCGCGAGGTGTACGGAGATGTATCAATAGACGATTACATCCACCCTTGTGAAAAGGAATTAGCAGAGAGACTTCGACATTGGAAGGAGTTTCCACTTAAAGATTGGCCATCAAATATACCTATCCATTCCCCAATACTTAAGACATTGTCAAATCCTTACGGAATGGGTATGCAATGGTATCCCACAGCCGCCCGGGAACTACTCAATATAATCGATAGCTGTCAGAGATATGAAAGAAACAATGTTTCGATTGTTGGTCGTCATCCCGAAGGCATTCAGTTTTCGTTTTATCTTTCGCATCTCGATAGCATATTGTGGAAATGGGTACGTAAGAGGGACAAAAAAGATACAGCAGAGTTGAAAAAGCTTAAGAGGCAAGTGAGACATTCAGATCATGTATTTGGAAGGCTATTACACTAGAATTCACTGCATGTAATGAGGGATACCGGCTATGATGCGAAGATGGACATCAGAGATGCCAACACCACATATTGTACAGTGATAAGCACCTTATTCAAAGGAGCAGGGAATCCATTGTTATCTGGCTTGGTTTCATGGTTCAATTCCTAGATTGTGATCAGCGTGCTGGTTCGATACCTTCAGCCCTTAAAGTGCTGCTTCTTCCCTCTTCAACAATCTGCAATGCTGGCTTACGGGTTCTGCACACCATCGGGACGGATCTAGGGAGTACGGCGGGGTCTTCCTATTATCAATTGTGTTACATTGCGAAAGCTCCTGCAGGACAGGCTAGTAGAGAAATCTTCTGTGTTCATTAGTTCCACAGAATGCAGTGAGAATAATTATCAGCAATATACAATTCAAAGTTCAGAATTTATGTGCTACATGGATGATGATGTGAAATGAATACGCTCGGAATAATCAGGAAGTGAAATCAGACACAAGCTCTTGTACCAAACTAGTGAAAGGTGCTTTTACTGTCAGTAATGTAAGCAGCCATGTGCAGTCTATTGTTTCACTCTCACATCAAACTCATAAAACTAGTCATAATCAAGACCTTGTCTAACGTCAAAGTATGAGGAATAGCTCGCGATCTTGTATTAGTTTGGATTACAAACTCTCAAGCTGCTAATTACACATGAGCTGAGCCAACTCATGATTAAAATCTACGCCCAATGGCACGCTAGCCCCAAACTGCCTGCATGTAGAACTATTAGAAGCACAGGAGAACAATAAGTCCGCTTCGTGTTTATGCACATTCCACCTCTCTAATCCAACGGACCCCAAGACTCCTCGATATCTCTCTCAAAGTTTCTCAACACTTCTTTCATTGAAGTTTCTTTCGGGAAACAGATAGCCTTGAAAACCCAGTCCTCGCCATCATGATGCATCAGCCATTTTAAAATATTGTGATCCGGTATCTTCTGCATAACATCATCCTTGCTTGAGCCATCTTGTATGTATTGACCCCTATGTAAATCATCACAACCGTTATAATTCCAGTTCGGCTTACTTGAATAGGGAGGATTGTATTGACCAGACTCAGTACGTGAAACCTTATTCTGCGGAGGCGTACCACCAAACTCTTCTCCTTCGTAATGGGCCCATGCTCGCAGACTACTGTACATGTATTCTTGCCAAAGGTGCTGACGAGCGGGATACTCTGGGGATTCTCGACCCTCGAACCAGGAACCAATTGGTTCTCCGCTGCCTTTGTCCCAATTCTGGATAATGCAAATCAACAAGGACTTAGCCATCTCTTCATACCAATCTGTTCCCTTTCTAGTTGGATCCGGAATGCGGAGACCACTGTATAATGCAGGTTTATAGCCCGGACTGCTTAGCAGAGCTATGAAATTATTGTAGTCTTCGAATCTCTGGCACAGAGCTCGTTCTTTTGCATCTGTGTCGCCATAGACTTTGCGTGAGAGAAACATGGTATTGTTGTGGAATAAAGCTGCCGAGTCGATTGTATCCATGGTATCTGAGCGCATGATTCGATATTGATCTCCCATCCAGTTCTTGAGAAGTGGAGCTAGCACTCTCTTTTCCTTTCTGGTAAGACGAATTCCAAATCGATGGCGATATTTTGCGACATAACGATAGTAGATACGGGCGGAAAGAGAAATACACCAGATTGTCGGCATATCATGTTTCTTGTAGAGGAGATCGAGGATCTTGTAAACAATCTCAGGTGGAACGATTCGCTTTTGGTCTGCAAGAAGATCATATACTGTTAGTCACTTGAAAGTAGAAGGATAGAGATTGGAGTCTGTCTTACCGTATTGAGAAGAAGGAGCCAAATCCAAATCAGTAGAGGCTACAAGATTCTGGCCAGCGTCTACTGTCATGCTTGTCTTATTGTGGTACTTCATATCTCCAACCTTTTGGGCGGCTGCCGAATCTTGATCAGATGTCGCGGTAACCATCTGATCACAAATATCCATTGTGAACTGATTCATTTCTGTATGTGCTTGGCTCGATGAAATGTTACAGGGTTCTTACTTTATATTTCGAAATTTTTGGGATATCTGAGCGAAGTTGTAGAAGAGATCTGGTTGCTGGGGTATAAACATGTGGAGAAAAAGCCCTTCGGTTATATGGTTCAACAAAGACTAGTGGATATTTACTTTTATATGATAATTATGTAGATTTTAGAGCTAGGTAGAGTAGGTACGTAGACTTCACAATGACGGAGTAACTTTTTAACATGAAATAATTGCACATAAGAATGATTACACTAAACAATGATGAAATTCTGCTAGACTTTTTCTAACTCTTCGTGACAAATTTCTGAGCCAAACAGAGCGAAAGTGTGCTCGGTTAGTCACTGCTATGAGTTTCCCAAAATGAGATTCCCCAGGACTCATTGATATCTCTCTCAATGGCCTTCAACATATCTTTGATTGTTGCTCCCTCTTGATGACATATGGCGCGATGAAAGCTATTCCGACCATTGTAAGTCCATGGAAGGGGTGGCACCCGACGGTCATACGCAGTTGTTACGCTAAGGTCCTTAACTGACACAATAAAGCCACTGCCATCTCCCTTGCCTTTGAACTCTGATGGTCCCCTGTGGTACGCCCAGTCTCGCAAACTGCTGTGCATATATTCCAGCCAGAATTGTCGCCGCGCTTCGCACAAGCCCTTGGGGTGATGCGGTGTAGTACACACTATTCTTTCAGGGTCAAACCAACCGCCAATGTCGTTGTGGCTTTCTTCATTCCATTCACCCAGGATATAATCGTGAACGATGAAGTGTGCCATGTCTTCGTACCAGTTGACTTTGTTGTGCAGTGGCTTTGGAAAGAATGGTGTGTGGGTAGTGTAGGCAATAGTATACTACAGTAAAACGGTGGTGTATATGAAGCTTTTAATACAGTAGTTAGTACGTATTAGATAGTTGAAAACTTATTGCTGTAGGTATTACTCAAAACTGATATCTACGAAGATATATGGGAAAATTAAAATATAAAATAAAAAGATGATATTAATCTTAATAAAGCCTAGAGAAAACAGGCTAAATATATTAGGTGTATTATATAATCATTTTAATTGATATAATCAATTAGATTATATATAGTTTTTAATATAATATATACTATACTTAATACTAAAACCTTATCTACCTATAATATATATCTTTTCTCCTAAATAATTAAAAGATACAGTATATATAATAACTGACTAAACATATAATAGTTCTCTTTTTTACCTCAATTAATCAATTAATTTAATAAACTTTTATCTTTAATAATTTAATAGTTTTTTAAAATCAAAAAGATTAAAATATTCAATAATATAGATAAAATCTAAGAATAACCTCAAATTTGTGTATTTCGGTTTGTTTCGTATCAATCAGAAATCTGTATTTTTATATTTTATCAATAATATTTAATATTAGAATAATATTGAATATCTTCAATAATATCGAATTCCATACCACGTATATACATATTTCGAAGAAAAATCGATACGTACCATTATCTAGTCCGTATACGGATTACGGGAAATACTATTGCCTACACTGTGTGTGGGAAACAAAATTATACTTAAACGGCATGATCATGTTGTAATAGTCCATATGTCGCTGTGGTAAGGCAAATTTTTGCTCCCATGTATCGCCGTATATTGCACGGGAAAGGAACAAAATGTTTGTTGGTGTCTCCCAGTATTCTGAACTAACCTCAGTTAAATATAGGGCGGCGATGGTTTTCGGAGAGGCAACTCTGTAGTCGCCTCCAATCCAGTTCTTCAATAGAGGTGCGAGCTCCAATCTCTCGCCTAGACAAAGATTCATTTGCATACGCCATGTCGTGCCATCTTGTACCCGTCCTTCTTGTTTTGCGAGGAACGCTAGATAGTCATAACAAATTTTGGCTGTTAGAGACACACAAATTAAGGTCGGGGCGTCATTGGACCAATTGAGACAGTCGATTATTTGATACAATATCTCGGGTAAAATCCTTCGTGTTCCAACTATGGTACAGTCTCTCATTAGCAAAATGTAAATTGATAGTCGAGCATCAAAGGTATATGCTACCTTGTTGAGATCCAGAAACTAAAGTTGTGGGAACTGTCTCTGTATCTGGTAAAGATGTTTCCAAGGCTATCTTTGTGGCATAGGTACTCTTTGGTGTTTTGTTGCTCAGGCTCCGGGGTGACTCTTTGGTTCGAAGGATCCATTGTGAGTGAATTGATACCTTGTGAAATAGGATCAATGTGGTGTGCTTCTGGATTTCTGTCCATGATGTATGAAGTACGAAATCTGAGGAAATCTTAAGACAATCTGGATGTTTGAAACTTTTTGTAGATAGTTTCGGGGTTGAGAGAAAGATGCAAGTTGTAAGATACAAATTGTAAAATGCAAGTTGTAAGATGCAAGTTGTAAGATGCAAGTTGTAAGATGCAAGTTATAAGATGCAAGTTGTAAGATGCAAGTTCTAAGTTCCAAATCTCAAGAACTTTATATACCTAGCTAATCCCAATCCACTGTACCAATTTATAAGCGAATCTGAAGCAAAAACAGTAACCGAAATTCTATATATACTAGCATAACCCAACAAATCACATTACACAATGAAATCGTCATTCCAAACCTATCATTCGTCATGTCAGTTATAAAATAGAATAATAGAATGTCACTTGGAGTTTGGTCCCGTCCATACAGGATTTGGAACTAATAGCCCTTTGACTATCCCCTATCAATGGCCATAAGAATTGGTTTTGGTGTTGTAAGAGGTCATAGCTGATACAGCATCATGGTGTTATGAATTTAGTTAGCAAGTTAATCACACAGAACATTGAATATCAAGCTTGAATAAGTATCGAAAGAAAAGAAAAATATTACCTATTTCTTGGCTGTTTATATTAGATGAATAAAGGAACTTCAATGTCCATGAGAATTGACCGTCTCTTTATGAAGAAACTGTATGAAAATACGATTATGCAAATTCACTATATAATTCCCAATCTCACTAGCTATTCTCATTTTTTCTTGATTTTTCTATTGATGGATCACATACAAGAGACTATTATCCGAGAATAACACATGTCCAGAGACCCGAATCTTCTTCACACCATTGAACCTTTGGTATTTAAGTATTGGAAAATGCAAGGAATTTTCAGTGTATTAAATGCAAGTAGTGAAGCAAACAAATGGGAACTGCTTGCTCATGCCAGCCGAACACAAAAACAACTATTTCCAAAATGAAGACTCATCTCAAGAAGAATTGAATAAGCAGAAAACAGTTTTACATTGATATCTTAATGCTCTAAAATTCATCTTTTGACTAGCACCAAATATACCCGTCTGCAATATACTTAACTTCGCAAACACCATGCTAAAATCTCGCTCTAGTTCTCAGTTAAATTATCAAACTCCCAAGATCTCTTGCAAAATACTGACTTCTAATCCCACCACCAAGGACCACGTCCGCTTACTCCATATGAAACCCCCCACCTATGCTCATAATACCTTTCAAACAACATCCGGACCAAAAAAACGGGCCTAAAAAATCATTCAAGCCGATTGCCAAAACAGTTGATCATTCCAGATGCTCCCCATCCCCATCGCCCTCTTCCAGTACAAGCATCTCAATACTATGAAGAAAAGTGGTACGTCCCGGCTCAAAAGCTCTTACACCTCCTAAAAGTAAATGCGTATCCACATCTTGGCCATCGACTATTGCTCGCCGACCGTCGACTGTATGTTCCATGAACAATTCTTCAGGGAGTCTGAACAAACAAAACCATACTTCTTGCTGGTATTGCAGAGAGAGAGTTGCATCATCAGATGTAAAACAAGGAGAATGCATCAGTGCACTCGAAGGACTTCTTTCATCGCCACCAATATGCCGGGAAGCCAGGTACGCCAGGTGTTCACAACAGTTGTAATCAGAAAGATATCTTTCTAACGCTACCGACTGTAGAAATCCCGGTTTCGCCTTTTGATATCTTAGTCGATCTGATGTGATTCCGAAAGGCATAAAATCTGATACTATCAGCCAAATCAGTTGTTCTTCCGTGATTCCAGATGACCTCGCACACTCCCAAACTTTGAAAATTGGTCACAACACACGTTGTTCCTTAAATCCTTGGTATTGAGGCCAGTCCGGCTTCCCTCTACAAGATTGCCCCACTACCCTATACATCCGGTCACGCTTATATTCCGAGAAATACTCTTGCAATCTTTTTCCTGGTCCACAAGTCTTTTTGTTGTTCAAAGAACAATTCGACGGATCAAAAATGTAGTTGCCCTTGTCTCCCCAGGAGATAGTGTCGGAAGATGTAAGAAGACTTTCATCTTCATACTCCTCGGGTCGTTGATGCAATGGACCAGAGTAGGACGTCTTGAATACTCTGCAAATCTTACATCCCTCGGCCGGGGCATGAGTACAAAGCTTGGATTGATTTTTAAATATTACCCCAGATAGCAGACAGTTTACAGAGTCAGCTACTCTTCGATGGTGAGATTTCAGATTGTCTCTAAAGTGGTGCATTCGATCGAGAACCCAATGGTTTCTTAAACTATCTTCTCGGATGCAAGACTCTTCGCATTCAATACAATTTTTCCGGCGAGATTCAAAGCAAAGCTTTTTATCTCTTTTGCCATGAACGTTTCGCCATTGTCGAAGCCATTTAGATGGCACACGGTCTATTGAACAGCCTGTATCCGTAGAAGAATGACAATACTCTCGAGGGCGTCTACTTTTGTATTAGTATTAAGTAAAGATCTCCCGGAATACAATGCAACATACCTCTGCGAGTTAAGTGTGACTTGCGAAGGTTCCCTCTCGATTCCCATGTTTGCCAGACTTATTTTGCAATATGACCTATCCACGGGTGCAAATATATGGGTGGTACCTGAATCATTGTTAAGCGATAATTGAGAATAATGAGCGCTGATAATAATCCACTTACTCGTTTCATACATCTCCAAGTTGTGGAAGGCTGTCGACACCGTATTTATTGGCTCGGAGTTTAGAGCATTATTGCCAGTGAAGTATGAGTTGCTGATGAATTTGCTGACATAGGGGTCATAGGAATCATAGGCAGGAATGTATTGTTTCATCCCCAGTCGATTTTTCCCAAGGCGGTTGAGGCAGCTCTCAAGTGAGTTCGAGCAACGTTCTTCATATTCAATATTATACTGACCCCATCCCCCTTCATTATTATCCCAGTCCAAGTAGCCATTATTTAATAGGTCGAAATGGCCGCTGCTGTCACCGCTCCTCGTGGAGTAAGTAGTTTGCGTAGCTTCATATGTAGAATACTTTCCTCTGCCATGTTGGTGCGAATGATCGTCATCATCATCGTCGTCTTCGTCGTTTATTGGTGGTAATCCTGGCTCGTCCGCGGTTTTTCGTCGGGGATTGTGCAATAAGGGATCCCAATTTGAGATGTCTGCACCTCTTCTGAAATGCTCGGCAACATGATGTTTTCTCTCTTCCCAATCTTTGAAGTGGTATGTACAGAAACCACAGTACCTTGGCCATTTTGTTTTGTGATTGTATGTCCAGGCTGCAGAGGTTGTATCAAGTCCAGGACGATGAGGAACGTCGACTAGATGGGCTTGAAAGTGATCAGTCTTTGCTCCTGTGAAAGTTTTTCCCTTTCTTCTTGCTTCGATGCAATTCAAGCTATGACTTCGCACTGCCTCAATTGTTGAGAATGCTAAAGAGCAGTAAGTGCAACAAGGATTTGAATCGTCGTCTGATTGTAGTTCGGCGCAGAGCATACACATATAACGCTTCTGTGGCCAATGTTTCTCGGATTCTTCGTGTCGAATCCAATCGGACTTTCTGCCTGTAGCATATGGACATCGTTCGTCTCCAGGTCCATATGTACATGAATAAGTAGGCGACAAAGGCTGAAGTGGTCTAGGTGTTTCTTCATCCGAATGAAGTTCTGAATCTTGAATACTGGATAGTGCAGTAGCCTGCCTTCCAAGGTAAACATACTGTTCCTCAAATACAGAGCTCGAAACGTCCGATAGTGGAATGTCAGAAAATGAGCCATATGCTGAATCCACCTCCAAATCTGATGCCTCTGAGATTGAGGAAGAATCAGATGCATCATCTGAGCAGATAGCCTCATCTATAAGCTTCTCCAACTGAAGAAAAAAGTACTCGGACTTTTGTCTGAAGTGTCTGGACGACTTGGAATAAGATTTCAGAGCCTTCTTTGCCTTCTCGAGTGGAGCAAATGCTTGAAACAGATGCGCTTTCCGTTCCCTCGCCCTTTACTGATAACAGAGGCACTGGCGGCCGAATGCTTTTTGGTTTTGCCAATCCGAGCAGATCCCTTGACTCGATTCGTAGCAACGGATAAGTGGGTATTTCTGGCGGGCGTGCAGGCATTGGATTTAGATTTCGATTTATTATTCAAGCTCGACATATGGTTGAGAGGCGGTTGAACAGGGGTAATTGCTTGACATGAGTCCTGACCCCGTTCAAGTTGAGTAGCATGAAGACCATGTACGAAATTAGGAGTAAACCATGTGCCCGATTCGATCGGATCATTAAAAAATGCAAGATTTGGTACATCCTGCATCAGATCATCCGGATCATTTGAAGAAACGTTCGATGCACCCAAGAATCCAGGGATTGACAACCAAGAATCCGCATTCCGTGATAAGGCTGTCGAAAATGTCTGCTCCGCCGAAGGTAAAGTCATTGTGAAGGTAGTGTTTATCGAGTTTCAGTATGATAAGTGAGATTGAATGAATTAATCGGGGAATGAGTCAAGCGGTGTACACACAAATGGTGATCAAGCTGGACAATAAATGGTATTATAATGGTGGTAACATCGAGGGCACACAGAAAATCGAGGGCATACAGAACAGCAAGGGCGCAAAAGCGCCCGGGCACAAGGGCGTGCATCATGACTGCGGACGACGAGGCGGACGAGGAGTATAAACCAATCAAGTAGTAAGAATCTAGAAAAGGAATGATTGGGTATTAACGGTGGCTTTCCTTTCGTGTGACTACATTGATTAATCTAAAATCCTCAGGATGATACCTAGTTGTGAAGTTTATGTCCATTTATGATGACTAATCCCTAGTGAGAGTGGTAGTTTGGTGGAACAAATTGGAAGATAAAGTTTAATGGTAATAGCGACTAGGTACATGCACGCAATACCTAGCTGGAAGCACAAAAATATGAGCACGGAAGAGATTCTTAGGTATGGATATAGTGCAATTCCTGATATTACCCGTGCAAAATTATGCTAAAAATAATGCGATGCTATGCTATGCTATAAAAAGAAAACAGTGTCCAAAGACCACGATGCAGACGGGTATATGCTCAATGAAAATCCAACCTTGCGGTATACCTGTATCCAAACTCCAAGCAATGCAAAGTATGATATGCAATTTCTTCACGACACGACACAAATCAAAGTGCCCAGTGAACCTTCTTCTTTGGCTTCGGACTCTCCACAGCCTGACTGAGAACCATCGAGGGCATCTTTCCACCTTCCCTCGTTCCCTCTTCGTCCTCACCCTCCTCCTTTATAGACCTCAGGTCAGGACTAGGTTCGCGCCATGAGTGTGGTCTTCTTAAAGGCAAGCTTCGTGTCTGGCCTCGACCGCGGCCTTGTGGAGGTGTTGGCCGTGCCTTTGCTCGACCTCGGCTGGTTGTAAAATCAGAAATAGAGATTCCGAGTCCTTTGAGCTGTTGATCCATTCGGTGTGCAGCCCGTGACTCCCTTCCATTTCCATGCACTTTTGTAAAGTCTTTCAAGCTAAGAGGCATGGGAAATCCAAACAAAATATCCTCCTCATCATCTAATGGCGCCCGCTGTAAGGACGACGGAGAAATTTCCCGGACTTCAGATTTTCCTTCATCATCGGACATGATACCGGCAGAGAAGTCATCGATATCGTCATCTGTGATCTCGTCTGGCGATGTGAGGAAATAGGAGAATGGGTCTTCATCGATCGCATCAATATCTGCGTTGTTTTCACGGAGATGAATAATGGTTGGAGGCCAGGAGTCCCGGCGCTGGAGCTCATTGAAAGGCATTGTGTGTAATTTGAGTGATAGATAGGAGATTAAAGTCCTCAATAGATCCGGCTCAAGGCCGGTCTATGTACTTGTGGCGAATGCGGGGAACTTGGCGATCTGAACTCGAAAAGTGTTCGAATGTGGAGATTCCTGCGATTATAAAGGGCAGGAATGGGTACAGAAATCAAGGACGTATTCGGAAGGACATGTTCGCTTTATAGTCAGTCATGCAGTAGAATCGCAAGAGGAACTAGTCATCCTTTTTCGTATTGCGCCTTGTTAGATAAGAGCATGTGGGAATATGTGAATCATCCTTTAGTGAGACATCACACCCACACCATGAAATTCTCCAAAATCATATAGGCAGTATTAAGAGTGTGAAGCGTGTGAAAAACTTGGAAATAACATTAAAAGGGTAATTAAGAATGCAAAGACGGAAAGAAAAGAATTCAAGTGTGACTCCATAATGATTTAGTTTCGCGCAAAGGGCGTCTCGTTGGATGATGCTCGTGATTGTTTGGTCAATCAGAATTGTAAGCCTGTCACTTTGTCCGGTGACTAAAATCGGATTGTGAAGCCACAGGCACATTCATGGTTCAATCAAGAACTTTGAATGGTCAAAAAGAAGTAAAAGAAGTACCCGGGTAATCCGCATTCTCGTTCTAATGCAGGAGTAGATGATCAAATATCGATCACCGTGGCATTAAGTATCCATAAAATCTGCACGCTGATGATTAGATTTTGAGAGGGCATTCGCATTCGTATTGTTTACGATGAAGTGGTTGGGTGATGAGGTGATGAGGTTGGGAAAGTTGCGATTTGCGAGTGCAGATAACAGTGTCAATGCCCCTCTCGCACTAAACTCCATTTGATTTTTAGTCATGTGATGCTCGTAGATTTTATATTCCTGCTCTCTTATTTGCCCATCTACACATTGTTGCATATCGCGTTTCTACAAATAAAGTGATTACGTATCCCGAGACTTGAGAATAGCCTCATTGTCATCAAGATCGGATCATATGACCCGCACCTCAAATACCTTACTGTCTGACAAATAACCTACCTTCCTCTACCTTGGTACTAGGTACTTACCTATAGCTATCTACAGCTATAGCTATACTGAATTCCTCATATGCTTCTAAGCATAGCGACGTGCAAAACTCCATCGGGTCATTTGATGCTGATGTGTTTTTAAGAACTATATCAACAGTTCTATCATGACATAAACTTGTTCTTGCAGCTTCAATTTTCCAATTTTTCTCATGTCCTTTTGGGATTACCCCTGGACTCTTGCACACGAACACATTCATCGTGGGTTGTAAGACGAAAAACACGATTACTCAATCGTCATATCACTAGGTTGAGCTTGATCAGACGTTGACAGCAAACCATTGTGGATTCAGTCATCGATTCCAAAAATACATTAACCTCTTACTCCACTCATCATAACGATATGACCCGTGAGAAGAGTTTGTCTGACTTCGAAGGAGGAAGACTTGTCGTCTCCACTCCTTCCGATGATAAGAAGTCGATCTCGATTCCCATTCGAGTTCTTACTCACAACATTCGTTATGCAACGGAATCTCCATTCAAGGGAGAGGAACTTTGGTCGGTTCGATGTCCTCGATTGTGCTCCGAACTAGTGTTTAATTCCACTATTCCCGAGACTTTTATCTGTCTGCAAGAGGTTCTCTACTCTCAACTCATCGACATTCACAATGCCCTGAATGAAGGTCCTGGAAGTCAGTGGTCTCGTCTTGGAGTTGGGAGAGATGATGGCAAAGAAGCCGGAGAATATTCTCCCATCTTTTATCGTCCAGCGGTGTGGCATCTTGTTCTCTATAGAACATTCTGGCTCAGCGAGACTCCAGAGAAGCCTAGCTTTGGTTGGGATGCCGGTTCTATCAGATTACTGACTATAGGCATATTCATGCATCGCAAGACAAACGAGATTGTTATTATAATGAGTACTCACCTGGATAACGCTGGTTCTGTTTCTCGACAAAAGAGTGCTGAAATTATTTTGGAGAAGGTCAATCATTACAAAAGTATTTATACTCCCGCTGCACTACTGCTTGCTGGGGATTTCAACAGTCCTCCAGACGATGGAGCCTACAAGACAATGACATCGTCAACTTCAGGTATGGCAGATGTTCGAGATCTTGTCCCTATGAAGAAACGGTACGGGAATGAAATGACATTTACGTCGTTTGGATATGTGGACAACACACCAACTCGAATCGATTTTATTTTCTCCGCAAAAGATACACCGGTCGAATACGGAACCTATGCGGTGTTGAGCAATCGTTATGATGATGGGGTATATCTTTCGGATCACAGAGCAGTCGTGGCTGATATTGAGGTATCTACGACTCAACCTGGGCAATGAAGTCGTAATAGTGATTCGACTACTTCTGTCATTGACTCACCATTTTCTGCAAGGTATTTGAGAAATCTGAAAGAATCGTCATCAAACCGAGTCATTCTCCAGGCACCCGAACACTTCAATGGTTCTGGTTGCCTATGATAGTATGTTTTATGTCCACCCCAGAAAATGATACTCTTATAGGAAAGGAGGAGATTGGGAAATGAACGGCTTTTTGATTGTTGAGCCTGAATTGATCTATGGGTGAAAGAGCGAAAAGGGGTGTTTATCACAACATGTTCGATGATTCATGGTCTCATCATTGCTTCGTTCATGAATGTGCGTTGTAAGAACAGCTATTTCGTTCCTATTTATTATACCAAATTGCCATTTTATTGATTCAAGACTTCCAACCAAATTAACTCATCAATATCTATGAGAGTACAACTTCTTCAGAAAGCTTCCTGATGCTCTCATTATACCCTTGCATTTGCGTGTTTATGTGAGATGAGGCGATTTATTTTTATCTCTATTCATATTTCCGTATATCCGGAGGTTATAAGCCACAGGGTGTCCCCACCGTGATCTGACCGATCATCATTTGTCTCATTTACGAGCAACAATCAAGAATCGCCATAATGAGTCTGAAGATTAATGAACATTAGACATCAAGCATCAAATGTACCCTAGCAACCATCAATAATTGTGCAATGAGGAATGCACGTGCTTGCGAAGCTTGCAGAGCAAGTAAAAACCGATGCTTCTTTGCCGATGGCACTACAATATGCCAGAGGTAATCCCGATGTTTAATCAACTGTCCCCATAGGTTACAATTACTAATTATAGACAGATGCGACCAAGCCAAAAGTCGATGTGTCGTTCGAGAGAAAGCCAGACCAAGACGTGCTCGACGTACTGTACGTCCAGAGAGTAGTACAAAATTAGATGATACCGGAAGCCCATTATCATCCGCCCCCTCGCTTTCTGCTGATAACCCCTCGAAAGATGGGGGGTTTTCTCTTGATCTTCCCACAACAATATATCATGATTCAGCCAAAGACACTGAAATTCTTCAGAACCATCATAAACGGGTCTTCAAAGAAGATAAATCGCGATCGCCTAGCCCATTGAAGGGTACACTACCCGTACCATCCAAATACATCTCCGGTCGCAAACTCACATTATCCCAAGCGACACACCTCCTCGATTCCTATATTCCCAAACTTCCATTTTTCCCTTTCGTCACTCTCCCCGCAAACCCCACAATTCGGGCCCTGTCCCAACAATCTCCCTTCCTGCTTTTGGCCATCCTCACCACCGCCGCTAGCCCACATCCATACCTTCATCATCAACTAGACCAGGAGTTCCGTCGTGTGTTAAGTCTCAAATTAATCGTCGAGTCGCAAAAGTCCCTTGACTATCTTCTTGGTCTTCTAGTATATATAGCCTGGTATCCCGTGCATACCAAACCACAACACAATCCATGTCTTACTTACATGAACCTCGCCAATTCCTTGGCTTTAGACTTAGGACTCGATCAAGCAGAGCCTCAAACTGCTCTGTTTCGAGAATTTGATTTGAAGGGACTTGTGGATAGCGATGGCGCGTGGACGATGGAGGCTAGAAAAGCTTACATGGGATGTTATGTTTTGGGTTCTCAGTTAGTGACATCTCTTTTGAATGCAACTCTCTGTCTATATACTAATTTACAGTGAAAAGTCTTTCTAAGGGATTCAATAAACCACAAACCATGTCCTACGAGAATCTTCTTCCTAGTAATCCGAATACCTTCATTCCGTCACACATGACCACACCGGCAACAGCTATTGTGATACTTGAGCGTGTGGCTGATCGTATCAACGATGCATGGACCGCAAAGAACTATCCACAAATGGACGTCTTCAGCACCGACTTGTACGTCCAATTATTCACCTCTGAACTAGACACCTGGAAACGAAACGTACCAGAATCAATTGCTTCTTCACGTGAGCTCATTCAAACCTCCCGGAAATGAAATGTAAAGCAAAACACTAACAAGCCCTAGCACTCCTCGCTCTATATCACAAACACACCCATTTCTCAATCTATGCCCACTCCCTCCGTCTTCTCCGTCGTCCCTACCGTCCCTTCGTCCCCGGAACCACAGAAGCCATTCCCTCCCCCGAACATCTCAACATCTGTCTCCGTCTCGGCGCATCCTACTTCCAACATCTTCTCTCACTCCCCACTTCAGACTACACCCATTTCAATCTAATTCACTGGTCACAACTCGTACACTCCCTCGTCGGACTCGTACGACTCACATTCGTGCTCGCTCACGTGGAAAACTGGTCTGCGGAAACCACGCGCGAGAAAGTGGGGCTGAGTATGTATTTAGAAGCATTATGTTTTAGACTCAGTAGTCTATCATCGAATTCACAAGTTTCTTCCGGTGCGGATATCGAATCTAGGGAAAGTGGGACGAGGGATGAGGGAAGTAGTAATGGAAAGAGAAAACACTATGATAAATATTTCGTGATGCATGGGATGTTGACTGCGCTTAAGAAAACGTGGGAGCAGAGAGTAGAGGCGATAGTTCCGAAAGCGTCAGTGATTTCTAGGGGAAAATGTCCAATGTTTGATCCGGAGATGGCGCCGCTATTGGAGAATACAAATATGAATTTCGATTTTGGGGATATGGCGGCTTGGGATGATGGTTTTGGGGAGGGAATGGCGGGATGGGATGTGGATATGGGGGGTATTGGGATGGGTACTTCTACCAGTACAGGTATCAAGACACCGGGAGATGGAGAGACGGGGTTACAAACGATAAGTAGTCATGCTGGAACACCAGGGAGAATTGGAACTGGAATTTCCATGTCGGATGGAAGGATAGAGCAGCAGCGAGGTGCAGGCACACTTTATCATGATTTATGGGCAACAATGACATGTTCATGGTCCGAACAATCTCCTAGATGGCCGACAGAGATGGTTCCTGAAAGCACTGGTACTAGTAGTAATGAAGCGATTTTCGGGTATCAAGTTAACGAAGGTTAGGATCAGATTTAGCAAGAGGGACAAGCGAACAATGTAAGGGAAGTACGGAACCTTTTTAGAGCTCTGAATATATGTTATTTCTTCTAGAGTGCGTATCCTCTTATTCTCTATTTGTACAAAAAGTCAAGAGTACAATGATAAATCTCAGACAAAAACTAAATGAACAATCAAACCCAATATCTACCCCCTCTCCCCTCATCTCAGGCTTTCAGATCATCAAATGAAGACGAGGTAAACCATACCTTTGCCCAGAAATCATGAACAACCTTATCCTCCCTTACCATCTTTCTCCCGTTCTCCTGAATTCCCCCCCCTCTGCCACAAAAGAAATAGAGTCCTGGCTGTAAATATCTGAGTCCTGACTGTAAGTATCGGTCCATGAATTAAAGCATCCCATCCGAACCCATACAAAATCAATTTCTATCTCGTTACCACAAAATCCAAAGCTCGACGACCACCACCACCTCCCCCCTCTTTCCCCCACCGCATCATCACCACATCATCTTTTGACACCTCTCCCAGTTCTCAGAGAAATAGAAATCTCAGTTTCTGAGCCAGCGGGAGGATGCAAAAGAGCCGGTGTCCAATTTCTTTTGAAATGCCAATGAAACATTCTAATCGCTATATACAACACATTTGACGCGAAGGCCATTCTCGGACACGCAGATTCGAGTTGAGATGAATAGCAGCTTTTCTAAAAGGGATGTGGATTGGAATCTATTCTAATGATATGTTTCATGGAAGCGAAAGTCAGATTGTCAACATTAGATTTCACTTTTCACTTTTTGCTCTGGCAAAGTGCATTCGGCTGTGATACTAATAAACTAGCTTTGAATGAAGCCTCCACTACCGATGTTAAATTATGACAATTGTTGACCACTTCCGTTTCATCGAATATCCATCAATTTTCCTTCGAATTCCTGTGTCTCTCTCTATCTCTCTTAATAGATTCCTTTACTACACTTCTCTCCAACAAAGGGGTACTAGTCCCACCTTCTTCATCCTCCACCAATCTGAAATCCCATTTCGGTGGCGCTTCATTGATCCCCGGATATAAATCAACCGGCAAATAATCTCCTACATCAAATTTGAAATGATTCCTCTCCTTCACATCTGTTTCATATATCTTATTGATTTGCTCCATTGCCTTCTTGGCTATCGATCTCGCTTTCTCCTCAGCAACTGTACGGCGGTGAACTTCGAGTATGAGGCCGTCATAAGAGGAAATATAGTTTTCATAGAAAAGTCGCATTCCCTCCAGTTCATTCATTTGTTCATTTATCTGCACCTTAGTATCTTCCCACCTAGCTCTGAAATCATGACCCGCGAGAATATATCTTGGGAGTCGCTGATATACACCCTCTAGAGTTTTGTATACGCTCGCAGTATGCTTGAATTGTTCAATGAGAAGTGAAACATAGTCAAGGATGGCATCATGTTTGGCCTCCATTTCATTTTGACGATCGTGGAGTTCCATAACCACATCTTCAACTTCTGCGGCATCTTTTTCGAGGATGGAAAACATTTCTTCGCGCTCATGTTCAGTGAGGGGTGCTTCGTTTATGTCATCGTGAGAGTTGGTCATCACACCAGAGACGGATACCGGTTCGGCGCCTGGTGGTGGATTGGAAGCCGCATTTCGGACAGCGGCATATCCTCCCTCTGTATGTCGGATTGCATTCAAGCATAGGTCGAAATGACTTGAAAGCGATGAGAGTAAGGAAGCCATTTCTTGCGCGTGCCCTTCAAGTGTATATAAGTGATTTGGTATTGGGGAACGAGACGAAGGCTTTCCTTTGCCATTCTTGAAGCCCGATTTTAAGCTGCGTATATCGCTGTCAAAGGAAAGTATTGATGTACCGAACGCTGCTTCTGCTTCCTAGAATCGAAAGTCAACAATGCAAACGCCCGGAAAGATTTAAAAAAAATTCTGTTACCTTGGACTCATCGATCAACTCCTTTAGCCCATCTCGCATTTTCTCCACGCCTTGCTCATCAACAAAGTCCAATAAATTTCTAGGTTCCTCGCCCGCCGGTCGAAAAGCAGCATCCACCATTGTCGATCGTAGCTTATCCATCGTGGATACAAGACGAGCATCTGCGGCATCGAGATTTTGTAGGACATTCTGTGCATATTGTGATTAACCCTGCACATCACTGCTTTGGTTCGATGACTTACGCTGAAATCTTCCTGACCATCACTATACACAAACTCTACAGTTTTCCTTACCTTCAACAAGGTTTTCATCTGCTCATTGATACCACTTTGTAAAAACCTGGTTTTAGCTTGCAATATGGCACTCTCCTCCAATGCATTCTTTGCCGAAGTGACGATTTCATTGGCACGCCATACTGTACTAATAGATGATAGAGAACGCTTGGAAGCAAGAAGATGCGATACTAAGGTTTCGAGAGGGATTTCCAACCCCTGATTTGAATGAGCGGGAGGTGGCGGATTCACAGTAGATATTGAGGTATGGCTCTGGCTTCCCGGTGCATTGGGTGAAGATGCCATAGTTAGGTTACAAACACACAGCGTTGTGGTAGATGTTAAATGTTGGTCGGCAGGATAAAGAGCAGCAATAGTAATATTTCACAATGGAAATTTGGACGTCAATAAATGTTTCGACCTCGTGATAGCCAAGAATAATATATTATTTATTGATTCAATATGAATATCTATATTGTACGGCAGAGGTATATCAAAGGTGGTGGTTGGTAAATAGAATGTTATAATCTTGGAATGATAAACATCTTGAGGATATCAATTGATGATGCTGAATTGACTTGCAGCTAGCTCAGTGCAGTTCTCGGCAAGACCCGGCGCTAAAAAGAGCTATGATCCCTCACCACAACTGATCTTACCCTGGACCTTAAGCGACATTCATTCAGTTCAGCGCATAGTCAGATTTCATGAAATTCAATCAACTGAGATACCTTGGATTCGATGGCACAAACCTTAGGAGATAACACCTTAAGTGTCAAGCAATCGCTTTTTGCTTTCCAAGAGAGAAGAATACCAGAACCGCTTCGTACTTAGTACTTACTTCTAGCCCAATTTCTTCACCTTATCATCCTTCAGGAACTTTCGCAATTGGTACTTCGTTTGTGTGTAACTCGTTGAGAACTAATTCCATTGAACTCGCATGCATTTGGTATCAATTTCATATGAGTATCCCTCTCACGAGTCAAAAGAACAAGTTTGGAATATCAAAATTATCGGCAAGATTCCAGGCACGAGTCGAGGGGAAAGCATTCGAAGAGAAGTTCTATCGTAGGACAGACGAAGCATTATGGAATGGAAGACAAGAGGAAGCTAAGTTCGATAACCTTAAACTTCAGCCGACCGAAGTTTCAACTGCGTCAGTGAGGACGAATTTCGGGTTTGAATACATTCTCCCTTGGAGCTCTCTACTCGATTCCGCATGCAAGAACCAGGTAGCCAAGCTCACCATGCCCAAGAGTACGAAACCAGTCCATATTGAACTGATGGTCATGTTTCCACTGAGGACATACGTGATATCTAACACCTTTGGTAAATCGCTATAGAAGCACGGCGGGGAGACTTGCAGCTTTAAATCAAGCATGAACACAATTTGCACAAAGGCTCAGGACGGGTTTTGAGTCAACCACCAATCACGTGGCTTGATCTGCCTCCCTTGCATTTCAATCTTTGCCAAAAGAAAACACACGACGTTAGCACACCCTACCTAGATACTGGCAGAAATTATTGATATTTCCGTATCTAGGCATTGTCGAGGCTGAATTGTGCTTGATTATTCACTAAACTAACAAGGATCAAATCCGAAAAGGTGTTAGTACTGTTAAATACGGGCAAGTTCAACATGCAGGATCTTCACCAATCCAAAAACATGTTCTCAGCTGATTTATATATAGAACTTAAGGCTGGTTTTCTTCTTTCTAGAATCCATTATTCCATCCTTCAAAGAAATAGCAATGCGAAGATATACGAAGCAGGCGTTCTATCTGGACATAGCCAGTCGTGATATATTCAATCCGGAGGCAGGAGTTACGGGACCAGGTATGTAAGCACAGAACGCATAAGTACGCACCACACAGGTAATACAACGAGCGGTCTTTAGAAAACGTGACAACCATAGAACCCGCGGTCCTACGTACCCAGACAAGATGAGCAAGGTAAATTCAGAAACTTCAATTCGGGGAACGTCAAACGAAGAATGTGATTTGTTCCTTTCCAATTATTACGAGCCCACTACATCGGCCCTGGAAATCCCCTACGCCGAGGATCTTCCCTTCGGCTTCAACCTGGAGGTCGATCCCGCTTCAATATCCTTGAAGTCTCGCTCGTGTGGTTCCGGCAAGCCACAACTCCTTTATGTCGGCAGTGGCCCGAAGTCGAAATAACTCCATCTTCCAGAAAAAAAATGGTCTCACAAATATGATTTCTTTTTTTCCTTCGGGACATCAGTTGTTAATATCCGATGTTTCTACAGACAGATAGGTTTGTGGCTAGTATATTGGATGTCAATCCTAATTCAAATGTAAAGTCTCACTATCATACCTTCGCGATATCGTTTGGCGAAGAGTACTCGTAGGGATCGCAGGGCCCAGCCGCTAAATTGGTGGTTAAATCTACTGAACTACCAATTGTCATTGATGTATATCTCGATAGCTCTAGTTAGTCTGACTCGGAGAGTTACTGGTACGAGCAGTTGGGTGCATAGTTTTGGAAGATATTTCTTATTTCTCTCTAATTTCCGACATACATTCCGGGATCGATGTACTTTCACGTGTTCTGGCTGCCTTTGCAAATAAACACAGTCAGATCTTTAAGTGTGGTTTCTGAGCTCCTCAGTGAACGCCGCACGATCTCAAGACCATGACGGAAAAGTGATCAAGCTCTACTTTCAAAATTTGCAATGCTTTATTACAAGCCTGGTTATTCGTTCTACGGAACTCTAGGGCTTGAACTTCGATTTCTTCTGCAGGAACCACGATCAATCATCAAAGCTTATCAATATCTGCCGAGCATCTAGCGTCATTCTGGGGTAAGGATTTAAATTTCTACTAGATACTGGTATTGCCAAGCATTCTTGGTAACCTTTGACAGACGACATGACAGCCAAAGACGTAAGTCTCAAGCCAATGATTGACATGTTTGAATCCACAAAAATGTAAAGACATGGGTTCGCATGACCCATGAACATCAAACAGACTTGCTCCATCAATTCGATCGTCAGTAACGACTTTTAGTGCTCTCACTTCCCCTGGTAATCTTGATATACATGCGATCCGCAGGGGAGTTAATCGGTGAAGCACGAAATTGATGCCGTAAGTCTGTTCAAAAAGGCTCGATGACCATTATACTGTGCACTTATTGGCATGAAGACTCAGAACTTTGGTCTTCTCCCGTGTAGACTATTCGCACGGCATAATACCGAAGCAATTTATGATGTGGATTATATGTGGAACTCAGGACTGATACTCTCACCTCAACCTCAGACATGCTTGATGTGCCGTCAAGCTTTATAATTACAATTTCAGTCAGGCTTGGATGATTTTATGCCATGTCTACCTGGAGATCAATGCATACAATTGAGCATCCTGCAAGCCTATCTGATCCATCCAGGCATGGCATGAATTCAATCCCGCAAGATGCAAGTGTTGCTGATCAGCCTAGTAGTCTTTCAATACTTTACTAGCTTTTTTTTGTATCTTTACTCGACTGAGTTGCGAAGTACTTCTATATAAATCAAGAACTCCTGTACACATCCATCTCATTCTACATCAACATTCACATCAGCATCAGATCATAGCCATCGAAGGTTCACTCTTTAATACCTTTGGTCTTGATTCTTACATTCCTTCAACATGCGGGGTCTAGCTTCTCTCGCCACTCTCCTTTTTGGGTCACTCGTTTCTGCTCAAAACAATTATTCAAACTTGCCTATAAATTTTCTGAAAACCAGCAATCCTGTCACTCCCCTTCCCCAAGGATTTCCATGGGGTAACAGGACTGCCAACAATTCCAATCCTTATAGTAGGTTGATTACCGGCCCAAATTAACAGAATTATGACTGACCATTTATCTTACAACAGCTGATGCACCACACACCGGTGTGATTAGAAGATATGATTTCACGGTTCAAAGAGGCCAAGCATCTCCAGACGGTTATCAAAGAGATGTGATACTAGTAAACGGCGTCTTCCCCGGTCCTCTTATCGAGGCCAATTGGGGAGATACGATTGAAGTCACTGTTCACAATGAGATCAGAGGCCCTGAAGAAGGTACAGCACTTCATTGGCATGGACTTCTGCAAAAGGAAAGTCAATGGTTTGACGGTGTTCCCGGAGTTCAACAATGTCCGATCCCGCCTGGAGGAACCTTCACATATTCGTTCCTGGCCGATCTCTACGGGTCAAGTTGGTGGCATTCTCATTACTCTGCCCAGTACAATGCTGGTATATTTGGTCCTATGATCATTCATGGTCCTCCAACTGTTCCATATGATTATGGTAAGTGAACTACCCGAAGATTGACCGAAGTGTGCTGATTTTGACAAGATTTGGGACCAATACTCTTGAACGATTGGTATCACCCAGATTACTATTCATTAGTTGAGGATTCTATGTCGACCGACCTCAACAGAGTTGTAAGTAGTTTTCAAATTCCCAATTGCAAGAACATACGCTAACAACCATCAGCTCATAAGCTCCGATAGCAATCTTATCCAAGGGAAAGGATTCTTCGATTGCTCTACAAAAGCTGCCGGTGATAACGCTACCTGCAATGATGAGAACTACATGCCACCTACTTTCAAGCTCACAGCTGGATCAAAGCACAGACTTAGGCTCATTAACGCCGGAACTGAAGGAATGCAGAAGTTCGCAATCGATGGACACAACATGACTGTCATTGCCAATGATTTCGTCCCTATCATCCCATACACAACTCAAGTCGTAACTTTGGGAGTTGGCCAGCGTACCGATGTCATCGTCGAAGGTATTCCGACTGAAACGACAGGATCATACTGGATGCGATCAACAATTGCTGGATGTTCACTTTTCAAGAACCCTGAAGCCAAGGCACTCGTTTATTATGGTCTCGAACCAAATGTAAACTCTACCACTACTGCCTCCACCATATTCAATGACTCTGTCGCCAACGTCTGTGCAAATGACCCTCTTAACGAAACGACTCCTTGGTACCCGATTACACCTGATCCAAACCCGCCCACAACGGAACAAATCGATATTGGATTCGGACAAAACGCTTCTGGAAACTGGCTATGGTCGATGAACAATTCTTCCTTCCGTGCAAACTATAACGAGCCAATCCTTCTCCTATCTAATCAGGGTAACAACTCATACCCAGATAGTCCCGAATGGAACGTCTACAACTTCGGTGACAACAGTTCCATCCGTATCTACATTACCAACCCCACCACAGTTTCTCACCCCATGCATCTTCACGGCCACAACATGTTCGTTTTGAATGAAGGAGTCGGACTTTGGGACGGACAAACAGTTGTTCGACCATCCAACCCGCAGCGTCGTGATGTACAAACCCTTCAAGCTGGTGGCTACATGGTACTACAAATCACGGCTGACAATCCAGGTGTTTGGCCTTTGCATTGCCACATTGCATTCCATGTTGGCAGTGGATTGTATGTGAGTGTCTTGGAAAGACCAGCAGATATTGCGAAGTTAAGAATTCCAAGCATTATGGCCCAGACTTGCAGAGATTGGGCGGCGTTCACAAATACGACAGTGGTGGATCAGATTGATTCAGGATTGTAGCTTGAGGATTTAAATGGGTTGCTCCATTTGATCTATGGCTTGATCGACTTAATATCTTCTCGCTCGTTGATGAACTTACTCTCATTCATTCGTTCTTTTCGAGTTGAGATTTTAATAATTTGCTTGGGGATGGCATCACTTTCCTTAAGTCGAAATTAATAGAATAATGATAATTGTGGCGAAACGGTGTATGGATGACTAGCGTCACAGTTTGGTTTGAGCATTACAAGCCTTTCATTCGGGTGTTCGTTTGTCTTGGGGGCATACTGTTGGCTGTGGCTTAGAGAGAAATTGGGTTTTATAGGGAGGTTTCGGATATATATGAATAACTACCTAATGCAATATGATTTTCTTTCGTTTCAAATCTTTGTCTGTACCATGCCTGTTCATAGTTTGTAAGTGTTTGATTGTAGCAAGTTGCACTGTGAGATTCTTACGCATCATTTCTGGTCTTATCTTGGAGGGTTTCTCTCATTTTAGTGAAGGGGATTGCTTGTAGTCTTACACATCTCTGGCTCAGTGTTCTTACAATTTGAGACAAACGATTTGTTAGTTCGCAGTATAAATTCAAGTAACAATTCTGAAATGCATAGTCTTTATCCGGTGAACATTTAGACACTACACTGCATTGCTTTGTCAAATTACATGATGGAAAGCTGTTGAATCAATGACAACTTCTAATCATGACATTGCTCATGCATACTCGGACCATCACGAAACCATATCAAGGCAGATCTTAATTTTCGTTCCGTCTATAACCTACTAAGCTCTAACCGCCTAGGTCGGGGACTACATCATCAAGACAAACTGATTTGTATTACAAAATCAGAGATCAAATCAAATAACTTTTCTACTTTACATGACCAAACTTTTTGGAATATACCGTGCAAGGGTTAAGTAAATCCCCATTCCAACATACTCCTTTCTCAATTTTTTTTCCCCCTTTACACTCCTGTATCATAAATAATGTTTGCTTTTGAAATCAGACCCAATACCTTCGGGGTTGTAGCCCATAACTCAAATTCCAATCGTGCCTATTTGGTGTAGAACGACTAGGCACTGTCCGAATCAGCATATAGAGAGATCCTCCACAATATCAACGCCCGAAACGAATGTTGTGATGCGTGTCTGTTCAACGCACAAAATCATATTGATCGCATGGTACATATCCTATTGCATAACTTGTGGACGAAAAGCAGTTGTTTCAGTGGTGAAAGATCGGCTCAGTATGTCTTGTTCGATAACCGACGTAGTAACAAGCATCCTGGACTCGAACGAATGTTCCAATTATACCGTTACAGTTTCAGTTACAGTCGAAGTTGTGTATTTTGGGGTGACAGTCTTTTTAACTGTTTGTTGTGCACCCGTAACTGTCGAGATTGAGACTCGTGTGATCTCGTATACACAGTATACTACGTAGGGATACATGGGCTTTGGAGTTAGAGATCGGAAATTGAACCTGTTAGGCACAACTCGTGGAAGAGAGATCCCGCGTGAAGCATCATCAGGGAGAGTTCGAGGTTTCTTCGAGGCTTCGTCAACACCAATCAATACAGGATCTGTGGCCCTAGCTACTAATGGTGCAGGGACCGTCGTTTTAGTAGTGGTGAATATTGTTGATTTGGCAGGAAGGGTGACAGTAATCGTTGTTGGAGGAGGTCTGGTGAAAGAATTGGAAGCGTAGAAATAGTCGCCTCTGCGTGTTGTGATGGTTTTGACTACGGCAACAGATTTGGTAGAGGATACGGTGGTACACGATGAAAAGGTAGAAGTACTGGTAGCAGCAATAGCTACCTGAATACTAGCGAAGAGACATAGAATTATTGCGTTGAAAAGCATCATAGTGTGTGTAATATCCTAGTAGATATTTTCTGTAACAGCCCATAATCCCTTGGTGATTTTACTCTCGTTTTGTAATTGCTGACTTTGTTTTCTTGAAAGAAACTCGCCCCTTTCTGTTTTGCTCTCAAAGCTCCGTGAAGATCATAAGGACCATCATCTTCTTTTGATTACTAGCTATGTAATACCCCGGAAAAACGTGCAATACCTTCTAGACCGAACGTCAGCCAATTAGCTCTTATAAACTGTTCCGTGAAGTCACACCTTGGGAATAATGGCTGCAGAATATTTGCACTAGAAAAAGGAGACGACATCTAGACTTCTTTATTCTATAGTCAGCAAACATTTTCCAATCATAACACCATCGGACGTTGGCATTCCTGAATTATTTCATACTCTCGTAAGCTGGGCATCTAGAGGAGGATGGTTCTTTGCCAAGCTCGGAAGGCTCATGTTCCGCAGGTCAACAAAGAGTTCCATCATGATCTAGATCTCAATCGAAGATCGAGTAAACTTCAATAGAAGTCGTTCAAAGGAGACTAAGCGCGAGACTTCTCCTCTTCTTGAAGATTTTTCAATCAGGAACGACAAAGGTGCCGCTGTGAGACTTAAATGTAGGGCTGAATAAACATCGTTTGTTCGATTTTGACGACGTTCGCTGCGGAGTGCCTTCTATGGGTCAGATTTGAGATTCGTAAATTGTGTGCGTTATCGGTTATAAGATTATAAAATCAAGTGTTGGGTTTTATGATTTGTGGACTTATCTATCAAGATCTTTGTTACAGGAGAAAGGTGTTCTCGAGACGAATTCCAGTGAAAACTTGTTAATCTGGTCACATCACGTGATTACATCTTTCGGAAATTTCCTCTCCTTTTCTTTTTTTTTCAGTCCGTCTCGCGCCCAGTTCATCACTTGTTGTAATTCTATAAGGGCTTAGATCGAAACGAGCAATGAATCCACGCCATGATATTGTAGTTCTACGTCTAGCGTCGTTATTAGGGTAGGGACGTATTCTGACAAGGTGATGAGATTTTCACAAGTTCATGTCGTGCAACCGCCTTTCTCACTTCTCTTTTGCTTTCATCCGATCTCTATACATCAGTGCATATTATCTAATGGTTACTGATCTGACTGTTGACCTTATTGGCTCTATTGGTCGAATCTGTCTTATCACTCGGCACTGGTTTGACGATTGAATCAATTGTGCAACCATGGAAGGTGGTTTCACGACCTCCAAACACTTCATCGCTATGCAATCAGCATCAAATTTACCGGCGGGATAGTGCTTCGTCAAATGCAAGAAGACTTGTGATCTTTCAGAACTACAGGCCATCATAGAGTCAGTGATGATACGGTTGAAGTCCTTGAACATTTTCCTCTAAATCTTCATCGTTCATAAAGGTTTTAAAGTCCTTCAGCTTGGGAAGAGTGAAAACCTTTTGCAATTTCCAGAATTGCAAGTTAATTTTGTCTTTTTAGATCACATTCGTCCAGTGCGACTTCCCAGATTTCTACTTGTATTTCAAAGAATCATTCTCAAACAGTTTATCACAGATCCGAAACTAAGTTTCGCTATGGCAATCGAGTGACAAATTCTTATGCTATTGATTCAATGCTGACCATAAGGAAATTGCAGATTTTTCTTCCAGTGGTTGTTCATTGCTGCTATACTGATTAGTTTCTGGCTCATGGCAACATAGACTCTCTGGTTCGATTGCAATGTAAACAGCTAACTTTGCAGGAAAGGAAGACGACTTGGTGTGTGGCGAGCTTCCGCGGATATTTCAGAGGCAATGAGACAGAAACCTGGACCAAATATACGGAAGTACGCCATGCAATAAAATCTTACGCAAGGCTAGATGAAATTGACGGTCTTGAACATATAGGCTAACCTGGAATCCCCAGATTCATCTACAAAGGTAAAATTGCCTTGGGATGCGCAATACGCTAGAGGGTCATAGCCGAGCATGTTTTCAATTTTAGGGTTCAATATGACAACATTATGTTGCTTGACTTTCTGCACCTTCCATCAAAGTTCTGGACTCGGGAAGGCACCTTCATTTTGATACAGGTTGCCTCACAAGAAGCACACTCGGTAGAGAATTAAAGGCAAGAGCAGAGGAACAATATTCCTTGCTTTTATTTTCTTGTGACAATTTAGAAGGTGTTTACACCTTAAAATAAAACAATACATTTCATTCATACATCAGTACTTTCGAAATTCACCAGTCTCTCTGTATTCGTAGAACGCTTATTCTCTATAATTTTGAAATTTTACATATTGATTCTACACATCAAATTTTGCCTGGAGGCCTAGAAGAAGAACATTCTCAACGCGAAGTTCTCTCCGCAAGTAGAACTCGCATACGAATTTATTTTGCCGACAACGCGGTTTTCACTCCAGCAGATTCTAGGACATTTTGGTAACTACTATTCGATCCAGCTTCCTCGATTGTCATCAATTCTCGCGCAAATTCGAGGTTCATTGAAGATTTTCAAGTAACTGTAAAAGGCCTCGAAGATTTTGAACAACGAACAAGGTGGTTTCAAGATCTTCTTTGTTGTTTTATAGCAACATGAATAATTATGTAGACCTGGAATCGGTTGATTCAGAGGACTCGACGAGTTTCACTCGCACAGAACACGTTCCTCTCTTGTCGCAATCTGACCATGGAACTTTACCGATCGAATCGCAAACAGCGCTTCGTAAGGTGACGGAAAGACGAGTTAGTGATGATCAGAGCTACAGAAACCCCGATTCAAAGCTAAAAGAGGTAATCGTCCAACAGCTCAGTAGACTAGGTTGATAGAATTTGGACCTCCAAAGACTAATGCGTGTCAATTTGTAGGTACACAATGGAAGCTGGCACAATCTCGGAGTATCAACACAGTACTCCGGTTTTTTAAAGAGGCCTACAACTCGTACGTATTACTCTCCAAATCCATCGCACATGCAAGCCCTAATCTGAGGACCATAGCCAAACATGACCAAAGGTACTAAGTCATAATTCCAGCGAGTGCTCTTGTTAACGTTTCGTTAGTCTCTCAATCATTCAAGACCTGCCCATGAAGTCGGTACAGTTTCAAGGATTGGATGGCACAGAGTTGGTGCCAAAGGAGAATCAAGAACAAGAATTTCGTGTCCGTAGATCCCAATGGTTGAAAAGACGATTGAGGTCCAAGAGAAGAAATTTGTACAAGTGGTCACTTTCTAACAAGGACATGAAATATAAAAAAGAAGCAAGAAAGGTATATCTTAAGGGCATTGCGAGGAAATTTAATCCTGCTTCTCGACCTGCGTGCCACAATACCAAGATACGTCCTCACCGTTGTAAGCCTATTGCTCATCAAGCTTATCTGCAACTTGATGTCTAACACTCAGGTAGATCTTCAACCTTTTACAAGCTCAAGCTCGGACATGGGAAATGACAACAATTGGTCTCGAATTTTGGATGTATGTACTTCTGAAAAAGCCATATTTTAACTGACTGACCTGGAAAAGGTATATATCTCGCAAAGATGCCATAGTAAAAATGACAATCTCAGTGATACTACCGAATTCACCAAGTGCTGGCCCCCACCTCCTTCTTATGCGAATATAACAGTGGATTTTCACACACCATTAATCTCTGATCCGAATTCGGACAATAACCACGATATCGACACTGAAAGTGACACTGAAAGTGACACTGAAAGTGAAACCTCTTCTTCTTTTACAGTATTTGAGATAAGAAATCCTGTAACGGACGAAGAAGTCAGACATCCTGCGAGCTACGATCTTCCGAAGATGCCGGGTACCTATCCAAAATCTCCTCCGGAATATTGGCCAGGTAGTGAGCCTATGTTTTTTTCGTCAGAGTTGGGAGTGGCTCATTCGCCTCCACAAAGCCAACTCTTCAAAAACGTATCTTGTATGGATGTACCAAAGTCCCCATCAAATAATGATGTAAACATGGATGATGTGGGTGGCGCACAGTCCGAGAGAGATTTTTCTCCACCAAGACGCCCCAAGTACGTTTATAAACCTAGGGACTATTCGTTGCGACCTCGAGAGCCCTGGGAATTTCCAGATCCTTTTCCTCTGATGCCATCACAAGAAGTCACTGCAGCTAATCGGCCTGACTCATCACAGCGCATATTCTCTACAGCCAGAGTTCAAAACGACACCGCAGACGATTTTATAGCCAGGAGACGTCGACGCAGGCATATAATCGATGAAGAAGACTATTCAGATGAGGATTGGGACGCTCTAGGGGAACCTAGAAAGATTCTCCGTCTGCATTACCAGGAAGTGAAAAACAATGGCAATGAGTGGGAGCCGTTGACCGATGAAAAGGCCAGAGAATTAATGTCTAGAGGAAGAGCCGATAAATATGATAATGTCAAGCTGTCAGACACGACGGGAACTGAACTGTGTAAGCGAAGAGAGCTTGAAACGTATCAGCGAAGAAAGCTTGAAAATGAATCACGGGAAAATTCTCCTTCATCATCCTCAAAGCCATGTTCAAAGCCTCACAATAATTCCAGGGCTAATCAAGGCATCGAATCGAACACAGTAGCCGTAGGTCTATCTCCAACTCCAAGACCAGGACGAAGCCGAGGACCGCGGGTGCGTGTTAACGGAAAATTAATTAGCCACGAGGAAAAGGAGAAGAGAGAGAAAGCCAGTCGTAGTCTGGTTGTCGAATTGCGTCAGTTACAGCTTGCGTCGATGGCTATCATGGAATTTCTCGGGCAGAATAGGTCGAGTGATGGTGACGAAACTGTGAGAGAGCAAAAGAAGAGAGAATTACAAAACATTCGGGATAAAGCAGTTTCCATGGAAATTCCGGCAACTGAAGATGATCGACAGAGGGCGGCCCGAATCATTTTTGATATAATAGACACTAACATGCGACCTGTCGCAAATGGAATTGGGCCTGATGATGCGATGAATTTCTCGCGCTGGTTCTCTCATGACAGATTTATGAATTATAGTCGATTAATATCAGCTATAGAAATGGAGTCAGACCAGATAGAAGATCAAATGTGTATGCTTCCCAAAGGCTCCGAGGAGTACAAAAATCTAGAAAGTCGATTTGATTTTCTGGAAACAGAACATGAAAATTTGGAAAAGAGGGAGGATTTCTACGTTGATGAGACACACGACGACAAGCAATGGTGTAACGATTATGAAAATCACAATCCGCCCTTGATAACTGGAGACCCACGCCTTAACGCCGAATATGGTGCAGCGATAGGGAAATGGAACTCACAAGCTTCACCGCAAACACTAAAAGAAGAGGAAGATGATCTTCAAAAGGCAATAAGAATGTCATTGGGTGAGATTGAATCGGTCGAGCCGGTGGGAGAAGATACCAAGGGTAAACATAAACAAGTCGAGCCGCGAGGAGAAGATACCAAGGGTAAAAATAAACAAGTCAAGCCGCGACTTGTTCTGACTATGCGCAAAGATAATGAGGGTCCGGCTGCACAAAGGCGCACGCCAATCCGCCAAAGCACCAATCTTGCAGAGGTTATGTCATCCGAAGCGCATTGGAAAGATAGTACATCACTCGCGCAGTTTCAAGATGACTCAATGAATGAGACTGCAGTGTTTGAGAAGGCGAAGGCTCTATCGCGTGCACAGTATCGAAATGAGAGTCCACCACTCGACGACGATGACTATTAGTGTAGCTGAGACGATATAGGCGGAAGAGAAGGAGCTGAGAGTAAAAAAAGGCGAAAATGCAGGTAGTAAAGGACTTGAACTTAGTCTCATACGATGATAATAAGGAGGGTACTACCTGGCATGTGCTCAGGAACATTGATATTTGACTCTACAGTGTTAAAATTCTGTTTTGGCAGAACCTAATAGCTGCCCCATGGTTTGCATGATTACTCAATTGATGACAAACAAGAGTTTTTCATGAAAAGAAATTTTAACAACAAAAATGAAGTTATCATGGCAAAGAATGAACGTGATTGCTTGCTGTCAGTTATTTGTTCTACATCCCGACGTCGTGGAAGCGAAACGGGACGGGCAGTCGCAAGGGGCTGCGGATAGTTATGCCATGCAGTGCATAGATAGCGTAGAAATGTAATGCAATTCGTTTGGTAAAACATGCACAAGGGTATCGGTACACATTTTATTTACGTGAGAAGAGGTGTTCCCGAAAATTTGGCTCCGCCGGCGCCGGAGCCGAGAGTATTCGGACCCGGTGACTTGGAACGGCTTGGAGGTTAACCTAGTGGTGGTGTGCAGAATGGAATGCTTGTTTGCCATGTGCGCGAAGGGATTGAGGATGGGATGACAGGGCTAGATAGAACGTGATTTGGAAGATGGGATGGGATTTTACTGATCAATTTGATTTGTTGCATGTCGGTGAGTTAAAGTTTTTTTCCTACATTGCTGGGCAAGAAGCTTCTAGCGATTGAGGTCTAGCGGCTATGCTTCTTTTAACATGTATTCAGCTCATGGTCCAAGTAGGTTCTGTAAGGCTGAGAAATGGGATATGGATGCATGTTTATAAAGTTTAACGTCGTGTCGATCAGGTGCAGAACTTTGATATTGTAGCACGGTCACGTTCCAGGAATTGTAGTTAAACTTTAACACTTCCTCATTTTGTCTCCAGTTAAACCCCATCTTCGGGAAAAGCTGGACGGGAGCGTCAGGACAAAGACCACGAGAGTGCCTGTGTTCGACAGTGGCATGGCATTATTTAAGTACTAAAAATTCAAAAACATTCGAGATACATACCCCATTCTTGCCTTGAAGACGTGGGAGCGGAACCTTGATTGGCCGGAAAGCATTCCTTCCATTAGAAGTGGTAGGTGTGTGGTATGATTGGAGTTTGTAGGAGAATGGGGTATCGAGGCAGCAAACGAAGGAACAAGAGGTATATAAACTTAAGGTTCCTTCCTCATAAGCATTTGATGGATTGATAAGTTTTTATTTAGATTGTGATTCCCTGCGGACTGTCAGCAATTGGCATTTTTATTCTGGAATTTGTTTTCGTCACAATGTATATTTTTGGCACAGCGTTTTAGCGCTCGACTCGTCATGGTAATTTATGGTAGCAAAAGAGGAAGGTCGATGCCCCCAAACTCAATCGATCCATTTTGCATCGCCGGTAACAATTGCCACGCGATTCATCCTTTAAAATCTTACCTGGAAGCAATTTGGAAGCAAATTATGGTCAGACAGCAAGGGGTTTATTACGGCAGATCATTAAGGCAAACGGCATTGGCGTCCCGACGTAGTGTCGACTTCAAATCGGGAATCATACGACATGAAGGCGCTTAGAGTTCAGGACGTAAACTATGCCCACATGGTATGATATGCTATGGAGAAGCTCAACATCAAGCACACTTGGGCGATTGTACGTTAATTATTTCCAGTTATTCCCATGCTCGGTACCAGATCGACGAAATAGCCTAGAGGAATCGAATCTTATCGGCTAAAGTCGTGCTTTGGTCTCGAAAAGGAGGTAATGTCAAAGATATCTAAAGATCAGGGCTGGATGTTCAGTGAAGTTGGAAGGCAGCCTCGAGACAGCTCGAGGCAGTCAACATCAATCATCATTACGCCCCACCGGAATAACATCGGAGGTTTGACAAGCTCACAAATTGCTGAGACAGTGCTAATAAGATAAGTCGAATCAGGTATCAGCGCTTCGTTCATATATTCCTGTCAATTAGCATGTAAGATCTTACCATTAAGGTTCTCAAAGGCCCAGGTATCGATCCTTCCGTCTATGGCTGTGGTAATACCATGGAAATGGATCTCGTCTTCCGCACGTGGCGTTTTCATGGCTGGTGGGCTAAAGATGGGTATCCGTTGGGAAATTATTGACCTGGGGTCTTACTGGCGCTACATGGAACAGGGCTTCGGAATAAAAAGCACTGTGCAAAAACGACAAGCGCGTAGAATCAAAGACGTTTGCATGAAACAGAAATGAAGGATTCAGGATGAGGATTACGACTTACAAGTTCGAGATGTTCAAAAGGATTGATGTGCAAAGAAGCAGCGTTTACACATGGCAGACAGACATGGTCATTGCATGGTGATATCACATCTTATCATGACCTCAAACGACGGTGAGCATTAGCTTCCACCCTGATCCTTATGACGATATCACGGAATAATATCAAAGGAAGGAAAAGGACGGGACATCCGTTCATGTGACCGGTTCAAAAACCACGCTACTGTACGATATTAGTAGTCTTGGGGGTGGACTTTCTCACATCGAAGAAAGTGGACATCGTCGGATATGACTCCCTTTCCGGGCTATTATTTACCGAAGTCCTTATATCTTTCGCTGGGATATCGCCATAAAGCACCAAAAGCCAAGCCCATGGAGATTGGAATTGTGAAGATCTTCAACTGCTTGGGATTGTACGTACAGAGAGTCGATTTCTATTATAACTTATGGACCCCAACGAAAGTTCCCATATTTTCCAGTCCTCCAGCCTCACGAACCTCAAGGCAGCTGTTTTATGATATTTAGGGTGAAAGCTAAACTGCATTGGCAAGTCATGCAGTCGGTTAGATACCCAGTTCCAGCCAGCCCTTGACTCTGTGGTTCCAGAGCTACAATAAGCGATGTCGTTAGCATCGCCAACGGCGGCACTTGATGGCCGCCGTATTTTCTCTATCAAGCTAAGTGAGTAAAACTTATGGGGATTGATTTTGATTGATTGGTGTGAATTACCGAAACGCTGTGAGGGATTCGAGTAGCGTGGAAATGTTTACATGGTGACAAGTGGTCAGATATCTGCGATAAGAATTTTTGAGTTCATGCCCTAACTGCTTAGTAAATTCATCAACAGAGAAAATGTCGATAAGGAAAGGCAATTGGCAAATACCTAGGTAAAAAAAAAACCAATCCAGAAAATTAATGGATGCAGCGGCGAGCGATAAATATATACAAACATGGGTTTGCGTGGAGGGGTAACCTGGCGCCCTTTGATTTGAGAATGATTGATGGGAATTGTGGGGATGCTTGTGTACCATGTGCTTGGGGAACCAATTGTAACATCAAACAGAAAACGTTTAACAAACGTGATTGGTGGTACTGGCAAGGGAACGGCTGAGAACTACGAGGGTACTTTGTACGCATGATGCACCGGTGCCGATTCCTGATAGGTGATGGGTGTTAACGGAACAGACAACCGCACTTGCATTTGTAGAACCCGTGGTTGGAGAATCAGATAGAATAAGCATGGTTAATGCCCGAGTAATTTTTGTGCGGTATCGTCGCTATGGAAATGTTGTGTATGGGGAATGAAGCCGAATGAGGTTCGAATTTCTATTCTCGTCGTGGCTAAATGCCTATCACACAAGACATAAAGTACCAAAGGATTTGTGAGCGGATATCATACTCAACAAGGTAGCTTCACCCATTGACAGGTCGGGGTTTGGCATGTCAATTCGTCGCAATTCGCAATTGACTAGTCTGACCTAACACCCTGTCAGTAGTGGCAGTGGAAATCTTGAATAAACTAGTTGTGGAGAGCCCTGGAGGAACCATGTATTATCATGTACGTATGTGCACCATGCCCGATAACCGGTGTTTGAGTGGGTAAAACTTGGGAGTGTTAAATAAATGGAAATTGAGCCAGTGGTTAGATAGGATGATTGTCAGTGGAGTGGAAATTATTCCGTGACTAGATATATACCTTAGTGCTGGACCCCTCTTTTCCCCGTTCTTCGATATTTATTATATAGTCTGAACTCAATTACCAGTATTGGAATTAGGACAGCAGTCAAAGCTTGAACTTTACTCTTATCATATCACTATCGTCGACATCAACATGTCTTCACTCACAAATTCGTCAACCTCTCGCACATCTTCAATAAGTTCAACATCGAGTTCGAAAAGTTTGAATGACAGTACAAATGCAGGTATCGGGAAGAAAAAGTTTTGCTGTAGTTTCGCGGGGTGCGGAAAATCATTTTCAAGGAGTGAACATTTGCACCGTCATGCGTTAAATCACAAGGATGGAAATCATACCTGTTTGCGATGCCGTGCACATTTTCGACGTCGAGATCTTCTTGGTAGGTGACACTATTTAGCCCCCCACCCCCCCAAATCTTATTCTAACATGTCATGTAGACAGACATATGAATCGTCACAAAGAGAAGGATGATGAAGCTGGTGGCGAGGGACTAGGTGTATTGGCTACCAGAAAAAGACTTTGGAGAGACGCAGACGGAAACATTGTTGCTACAAGAAGACCATCATATGTGCAAGAAGGCACCAAACGCAGACAAACAACCACGAGAGCAGACAGAAAGATGAAAGTCAGCATTCAGTCAGATTCTCAAGACCAAGTCGGCAGTCATCAATTACTTTCTCCACCAATGAATACACCCACTATCAGATCAAGGTCGCCATCTGCAATTGTGGTGGATAACGGAAGATCATATCCGGAAGCTGAAGGCCACCAGAGATTCGAATCACATCACGCTGTTCCATGGAATGGTATGACTGCATCAATACCGTCACCGCCAACCTCAGAATCTAGCATTCACTCAGCAGGTCAATCTCCAGCGCCTGAACTCGGTGATCTTGATGGGCTCTACGAAGAAACCACATGGCCTGCAATTCCAAATGGTCTACCTCAAGCTCCTTCTCTCAATCGCCAACTTCCCGAGCCTACCGAATACAACATGGGACCTTCACATCATTGGGGCTCGCAACCCTTCCAAACATTCATGGGGGCAATGCCGGAGGTTCCTGGGAGCTACGATGATATCTTCAAGCCAGATCCAGGAATGTACGAGTGGCAGATGCCGCAATGGAATAATCAGATGCTGATGTCAAGAGTGAGAGAGGAAAAGCCTGGGTACGAGGCGCAAGAAGAGCCAAAGAGAGAATGGGGTTATTCATATTCTGCGCAAGGAGGCAATTTTCATAGGACCTATGGTGTTGGAAGATGTTGAGATGGGAAATGAAATCATGAATAAATGAATCAACGGTTATGAATACATCGATCTGGTTCTGTTTAAATATTGCTGTGAAATTAGCGGTTGATACCATGGAAGTTTTGATAGTTTTAGCAATGAAAGACATTAGCTGTTGCTGCTCTCAATCTCGCGTTTGTTCCATTGGCAAATTCTGGAAGGACAATTTTGTGCGACTTGTGTTTCTCAAGCTTTGATATCACCAACATAATCACTCAGAAAGCCACTCCTAAAGCATCAGTATAGGGGATATGAGTGCACCGCACTCAGAACTTTTCATTCAGTCCATCTAGGGAATATTAGCGAAACGTGTCACGGCGACAATATGCACAGTCCGGAGCCATGGTCTGAGGGCAGTTTGGGGGCAGTTTTCCCAAGATTGCCACGGGCCAAAAATAAGACACCGAGCACATGGATGAAAGCACCACTCACGATCCCCGTAACTCGTCCGTAACAACTCCTTTTAGTAGCCTGCCTTGTCTGGGAACACGAGATATCCATTGATATACATGTACCCGCCCGATATCTGTCTTCTATCATTGGCTCCAAAAGCGTGGTCCTGTCCAAGTGTTCTTTTGCCTGATGTTACACAGGCAAGCTGCAACCGCTGGCTTTCAACTATGAATAGTTGAATCCTTCACCCCTTAGCACGTTGTCGATGACTTTAGATGCATGGATAGCTTGATTTCTCGACCCAGAAATGTGGAACCTCCGATGTTATCCTTGTTCAATATACACATGCTACATCATAAACCTAGATCCATGTTTATGGAATTTTTGAGAAGACTGTTCTGTGGACCTGACGTTGGGGAAATGAGGAAGATGAACTGATAACGATTTTGGCCATACATTAGCGAGTCCGAAGAATTGTTTGGGATGGAAACCCTGTACCATTTCCAATATCAAAAGGCGCTCGAGCGAATTTCATTTCAATCAAACGCGTCTTAAAATAAAATATCAATATTAAACCCCTTAATAAATAGAGATGCAAGGTAAAAGAATCTAGATATCTGAACAATCGAAATCGAGTACCTAGGAAATCACATCAGGTTCAAGGCGTATTCATTTCGGCCATCAAACAAATGCATGGCGATCTATCTTCGTCGCCTACACACTAAAGACTTCCGTTAAGGTTTAGTTTAATTCGAACTATCGTATCAGACGCGTCGAACCCTAATCATGCTATAGTAAGCCTATATCAGCATGCAATTCTGAATTTCGCAATACGTCCGTAAGATGGAATATTGAAAGAGAAAAAAATCTTACGCATGATCGGAGAATTTCCAAGTTCTGTAAGCAGGAGATGTCTCCTTCCAAAAGGACGCGAGCCTCATGTGTAACTGGCTATACAACGGGTAAACCATCGACCAACCTCTTCCGTATATGCAGCAAACGATGAGTTTGTGCGATAATTTCTTTTCTGGCCTCGCTGGGGTACCCACTAGGATACTTCACACTGCTACTCTAACCCCAGTAGAGTTATGATCACACGCTTAGGCTCCGGGGAAATGGTGGAGACTCAAGCATGAAAGCTTGTACCACTTAGAGGTTCACCGCCTGTTTGAGGAAGGTTATCATCGGATGGTGGATGTTCCACAAGATGTTGATGGAGCATTGTGAAGAATGTAGTTGACATAAGAATGGAGAAATCTTCCGTCTGATAATTGAAAGATAACAGTGACGCGACGCTGCAGTGTAACAGTGAGAACAGAATTGACGGCTTACTGGTCGCGGTACTGTAAGAGCGAACTTCCGAGCTATCGGGGGTAAAAGATGTACACGTGATCACAGTAAGAACTTTTTAACTACTCGAGTATTCCGTTCATGTTTGGCCGAAGCACATTTGAGGAGATGGTGCTTGAGTAGAGAGCGACGGAAAAAAATGAACCTGCTATATATTGCCATGATCATGTTTAATATTAAGGCCGCTCTTCTTTCTCGGCTATAATTCTTCACCCCTCAGGGATTGCATAATACCGGACCGACAAGGCCAATAATACTGCGATTGTTAGTACATCCAATGCTTTATCATGCAACGTCAGAACCTGCTCGATATGGCTCTCATCGACGGATCTTCGATGTTTGGTCAATTCAGTGATATAGTGGCTTGATTCTTAACTTCCCAAATGCTAAGCGGGAATTTTTACAAAGAGCTTGTTCCGCATAGGAACAAAAGTAAATCTCATAAATTTAGTAAAAACATACTAAGTACGTGCCAGTAGTTGGTTTCCTGTTATAAGCCTGATTTAGCCTGCCCCCCTGGTGGTGCATCTTCTTGCAAGATATACAATGCTCATCCCTATAAAAATGGCAACTCTCGGTGCAAATTATGTCTGGGTTAGAGAGACAGCCAGTCGCGATGTGAGTATTCCAAAATATCACCGCCCATAAAGGGGTCACATTATTTCCTGCTGAATCGCTCTCAGTTGTCATTACAACTGTCAATAACTTTTCCTAGAGCTCATATATGGAGTATAAGTACGCTCTTCGTTATATCCATTTAGCTAGGGCTGTTACGAACCCTTCGACAGGCGGGAGTAGACATAAGAATTGGGATCTTCGGTATAAATAGCGCAACATTTCATCAACTCTGTCGGCAAATTCGAGTGAATATAGTCCGGCAGCGTCACTTCACATGAGAAGCGTAACGATGGTTTGAACTCCCCGTCGATTAAATAGTTCCAAGTTCCGACAATGTGGTTCAGGCGGCAGCTACATCTTACATATCCCAACTTGTGGCTTTGGCTCTCGATAAATATGGTTTCAAGGATGTCCGCAATTTGCAATATATAGACAGATCATGGAAGGACGAGATCATCACTCTCCCTTCAAATTTGATTTCATTATTAACGTTTAACAAATAACCTTTCTCTGCCTAGAATCGGAAGTCTTCTGCCTCTGGTTTGATCTCGTGCCAACAGCAATGTTCGTTCCGGATCAGCATTGCGTTTTGACATTCGTAATTATTCCCAACTGCATACCAACAACAACTGTATGGCTAGATTCCGCTTTTCAAATGTGAGTAACCCGGCTAAGCATCATTTTCCAATCTCGATCGGAACTTTCGGTCCTTGGGCCAACAGTAGAGATGTTGGTCGACACACATGTGGTTTACTCGTGTTTTGGTCAAGCAACATTCTTGTTATCGTTTTTAACATATTTGCATTGAATGACATACTCTTATATCGCTTCCTTCGTTCTCTACGATATACTACTTTTATGATTCCAATAAAGACATTGCGAAAACTAAATAAGTTATGACAGAGCTTCAAGTATTTGCAATTAACTAAAACATAATCTCATGAATAATCTGACTAACAGCAGAATTAGATTACAGCATTGCGCGATTCCTTGCAAAGAAAAGCTGCAGCTCACAATGATCCAGACTATCTGTTGGCACAGAACTCTTATTTCTCAGCCCAAGCCCGGTCATTATCTCCAGGATGCATAGCAACACCGACTACAAATATTGAAGTTGCAACGATAGTGAAAATGGTCGTAGAGGGCGGAGTAAAATTCGCCATCCGAGGCGGCGGTCACTCATTGAATGCCGGAGCTGCGAATATTGAAAGCGGAGTCACCATCAGTCTTCGAGCTTTACATAAGGTAGAGGTCAATAAAGAACAGACACTAGTTTCCATTGGAGGCGTCGCAAAATGGGGCGAGGTTTACTCTATCTTATATGGTTTGGGATTAGCTATGATCGGCGGGAGAGTCGCCGATGTTGGGGTTGGAGGATTGACTACCGGTGGTATGAGATAAATAAACCTTCAAATTATTGTTGAGACTTCTTATGACTAATTGAATGGTTTGCTAGGAGATATCTCATTTTTCAGTGCCAGAGAGGGTTTAGTATGCGACAACGTCGAAAACTACGAAGTGGTCCTCGCCGATGGAAGTCTTGTAAATGCCAATCACTTCGAAAATCGCAATCTCTGGCAAGCCCTGAAAGGTGGCTCCAATAACTTTGGCATCGCCACTCGCTTTGATATTCGAACTTTTCCGCAAGAGAATTTTCTTTGTGGTTGCATTGTCCACGATATTTCGACACTTGACTCACAATTGAAAGGGTTTACGGATCTTCTTGAGAATTTCGATCCCTATGCTGCAATTATGATGATTATATCATGGAATCAAAAAGGAAATGGATATTCGATTTTCAATAATCTCGAGTATACAAAAAATGACACGAACCCGAGGGCGTTGAAACCGTTTCTTGAAGCGAAACCTCAACATTTGAATCCCATGCGTCTTTCTAATCTCGCTGACTTCTCTACGGAGGCTGGAAAATATGCTGCGCCTGGCTTACGGTTTGTTCCCATCTGATATAATTGGCATTTTGAACAATGAAATGCTGAATGTGAACCAGCAATCAATTCGCAACTACCACCTTCGGCGGAAGCTTAGAATTTCTTCAGAACGTCCATTCGATCTGGCGATCAAGCATTCATGCTATCTCCTCTATCGTTGGAGTAAACTGGGCCATGGCAATCCAACCCCTTCCCATTGCTGCAATGAATCAATCCGAGAAAGTTGATTCTCTTGGCCTCTCATCTTTATCAGGTCCTCTTACTTTATCTCTCCTTTCTTATAATTGGGAGAATATTGAAGATGATGAAGAGATAACGTTTGCCGCGAAGAAATTGATTTCAGATATCGATGAAGCGGCAAGGGAAAGGGGTGTACCTAGGCAGTGATTTCAAATATTTGAATTATGCGGCAAGTTGGCAGAATTCATTAGGAGGGTATGGGGAGGAGACGTTGGTGAAATTTACGACCCTGAAGGTGCATTTCAGAAGTTATGTGAAGGAGGATTCAAGATTTCTAAAGCTTAGAAATTTCGGGAGGGAGAGTGAAATTAGTTGAGAGGAGTACCTCTGAATGTTTTCAGTTTCTAGGTGCTCGGTGCAAAATAATGCTAGTGAATATGAACGCGATCCTACAATGTCCTATTTACAAGAGGCTTCATTCATACTATTCTCACCTATCTATATAGAAAAGCCTCAGAGAAGAGAACCCGGAATGTTCAACACGAAGTTGGAAATTATCATACTCTTTTCGTCTCGTGTGACTTTTCTCGTGCCTAAAGAATCCAGCTTGGCAATCTTACACAAGTCTGAACAATACTGAGTTCTAGAGATGATTGTTCATTTCTTTCTCACAATTACCATTCAGCTGCGACGAGAAGTCGGCGGTAGATGGCGATTATGGGGAAGAAGCAAATTTACACCTAATCTCACGTCTATCACACAAAACTTGAATTTCGTTGAATGTTCCGTACGAATCACACAAGTCAATGATAATTACATTGACTAAAGTTGTTTTTTCTAGGCGAAAAGCTAGAAATCCTTGAAGATATTTCTGAATGAGAAAATGTTTAAGCTTGTATTGTTAAAAGAATATCACTTCAACCAAATCATCTAAGACTTTGTGGTGAATAATGTGTCGTGGTGACCATAGATCCTTAGAATTTGTTACTAAATTGTGATAATACAGAAACTGGATGCCATTCAAGCAAATCACTCCTCTGAAATGAAATGAAACCCCAAGCCACCCAACGAAACCCCCGTCCCCAAATCAAAGTGCGCCTCCAAACAAAACAAACCCCCTCGCAGAAAGACGTCAGTTTCAGACTCGGAGCGATCCTAAGACACAAGTTAGTCTCAGTTCGAAAGACTTCTCAGACAATAACTCACCTTCTAACTCCGTAGTACTACTTCTTCGCTCTCTTCTTATAACTTTCATAACTTCCATAAACTCCATAATTACCATATTCTCCATAGGCACCGTAAGGGTTAGCCGTCGTGGATGTTTTGACAGTCGCCGTACCAGCACTTGAAGACGTTGCGCTCGAGGTCGGAGCCAAAGTCCCAGTACCACTTGCACTAGCATCTAAAAAACCGGCCACCACGCCAGCAGCCATGGCCAGCGCCAATGCAAGTTCAGGGAGGAACTTCATGGTATGAGTATACTGGGGAGTCGAGAGAGTGAGTGTGGAAATTTGGACGTGAAAGTGGGTGAAGAAGGATCGGATGTGAATGATGAGATGGGGAGGATGAGAGAGATGGAATTTGACGAGAACATATATATATCCAGAGAAAGAGGACGATGATGATCATGCAGACAATAGAAACCAGAATTAGTATGCTGGTGATGAAGTTGGTTTCATCATACATAACGGGAAGGGAGATTAGAGAAGGTTATGTGACTGCCGATGGGGTACAGTTGTACTGGCTGAGCGATGGAAGTTGAGTGTTATGATTGGGAAAATCTGTTCAAGTGTAATTTTATATGGGTCGAAAAATGATAGAATATCACTTAGAATAAAGTAGTAGTGATAGAGATCGAATTGAACAGCAATGGATACGCCCCTCAGCCAGCTATCCTTCGCGGTAGTACGCAACACAAAGAGAGTTTGACTGACTCTATGGATTGAGTATCCCACATGTACGAGTCTGAGTAAAAGCATCTCGCATATGAGGTAACTCCAAGTCTTGATAGGAAAATCTATCAGAAAATATCTTGGTTTATGATAATTTTCAGAACACCCATCATATAAGCATTGTGTAAGGATGCTCCGTCCCATGTTCCATAATACGAAGTGGTACTTTAATCCGATGTAGCACTGTGGTGCACAAGCTTATTATAAAGCGAGCATATCGCCAGCGTCGTGATACAAACGTAGATATTGGCTTGTAAGAATATCACCCCAGGACAAGATACTGCATTTCCTGGATCTATTAAAGAGCAGAAGGATGAAGATGGGGTATCTATAGTTGAAATCCTCAGGTTCGATATGTCGTGATTGAAAGGATATAATGAACAAACAAAATACTGTTCCTCTTATATGACATAAAGACGATGATCTGGAAAAAAAATCCACTCTTAATTATCGATATAATAGCTTACTTGAGTTGTACAAATGTTTCATACCTCTGAAGACATTGTTTTGGAGAGAATGATCACTAGATCAAGCGGCAGGACAGACCAATACTGACTTCAGATCATTACTTCACGATAGATTCGACCTCATTATCTCAGACATGAATCATACACTGGTAGATTACTAACTATCGAGGAACATCATCCATCCTTCTGATGTCCCAACATGCCGTTATCCTCAAAGCCATCCTGATACCAAACACCACGTACCTTCATCTTCTCAATAGCAAATATCCTCTTTATTAAACAGTCGATAATTAAGTTTCAAAATGAGGACCAGGCTCACAGACAAAATTTATGTTTTCGAAGAGATTCCTCGTCAAGCAGGGCCAACAAGTCGAACACCTCTTTTGGCACCCGAATATAGAAGGCAAGAAGAGGAGGAGGAAAGTCTTTGTTCGCAGATTCTCCTAGTCTTGGTCTTTTTCATCTTTTTCATTAGTATCTGCTTAATTGGCCTCTGGGTTGGTGGGCGTTGGGGTCGCAGCACTGAACGACTATGCACGGGTCATATTTCACAATACTGTAAGTTCGCCGTTCTGTATGATTGTTTGCCGAAGGAAGCAATAGCTAACAATATTATCACAGCCCCAGTTCTCGAAGACTTGAGCCTTTCGTATACCACGATGAGTTTTAATGGGTCACTTCCACAATCCAATGAGTATCGCCAAGATGCAGGTCGGGAAGTTGATGCGGCCTGGAATGATTTGGGAATTAACTATCGTGACATCGTCATTCCTGCAACATTTGCAGCGAGATCCGGAATCACTACTGATCATGTAACAATCAGTGAGAAATATGGTGGCGGCTACCCAGCTAATGTTGAAGGTTTGACCCATCTTCATTGTTTAAATCTGCTTAGACAAGGATTGTGGTATAACTATGACTATTATCAAAAGAGAGGAGAAGGCGCTTTCGAGAATGACATTCCAATATTAAAGCTCCACGTCTGTAAGTTAACCGTGTGGAAAGAACCAAAAGAAATGCTAACCTTTGCGGCTTCGATAGCTCGTTGCCTTGATATTCTTCGTCAGCAACTGATGTGTACAGTTGACATTGGCGTTATGGGTAAAATTTGGGTTCATCCAGAAGCCCCAGAGGCGTATCAAGATTTTAATACAAAACATAAGTGTCGAGATTTTGATGCTGTGAAAAATTGGGCTGAACAGCGACAAATTCCCGTGGACGTACCGGTCGACTTTTTCCAGCAACCAGAGGAAGGAGAGATTGTGTATTCGACATATCCATGAGCTACAATGTCAGATCCAGGGGCGCGACTTTGTCTGTAAAAGATTTCAGATGCTGGGCATACCGTGCCGCGAGTGCTTTCATGCTGTCTGGGGTGAAGAAGTGAAGATCAGGTGGATCATATGTGGAATATTAACTCTCGGGCTATCCAGTTGGTTGTATCAAGAATGTCAATTTACTGAAGATATCTATCTGACTTGTTTGAAATAATTCTGATTGGGTGTGGAAATTTCTGGCATCTGTTATGATGACCGAGCTTCGTGATCAATCTTTATTATTAGTCAGCGGAATAGCAAAATGCCAAGTCTTCCATTCATTCATAACGCGTTTGCATTTTTAGATCATGCTAGAACCCTCATAATTCATCATGTCATCCTTTCAATAGCACATAATTCACATAATTAAACATCTATAGGCTCCTATGTAAACTGTGTGTCATTGATCAACCTCAATCAGAAATATGGCAAAACCCTTTCCCATGGAGAAATAATGAATGGAATTCATGTGTATCTTTTTTTTTTAAAGAAAAACCTAATACCGACCCTCCTCAGATAAACCATCATGGCATTCTTCCTTATGTCGCCTTCTCTCAATACTGAACACCGCTAGACAATCCTTCAGCCTCGAGCCTTTCCCTTTCTCTCTTCGCCCTCTGGATATCAAGGGACATCTTCACTGGTCTGACGCCTGGTGTCTCAAACACAGTATCAATTTCCTCCAAAGTCAATTCCGAGGTCTCTGGGAATACGAAATATGAGAGGACCAGTTGTATGAGATTATACCCAACATACACGACCCAAATCTTGTATCCAATTTTTTGAATGCCAACCGAGATGCCGTAATTCTGGACTGTTCCAGCTGCACCTTGTACGAAAGCATACAAACCCATACCTTTCGCTCTCATATCAAGCGACAAGACTTCAACAGGGTAAAGATTATGCATTGTTGCGATTAGCAAAGAGGAGCAAGTTTGGAACAAGAAAAGCCAGGTCACAACGAGTCCAGCATCCACTTTGCTCTCGTTCAATGTGTATTGCCAGGAGGTTATTGTAGCGGCTGTTTGTAAGAGAATAAAACTGATTAATCCAGCAAAGATTAAAGTCCTTCTCCGAAATCTGTCGACTATAAAGGAACCACAAACAGTAAACACCAAATAAGTCGCATTTAGTCCGAAGTTCATACCAAGCTGCTCGGTGGTTCCTGTAATTCCGACAGTGTCTAGAGCGGGTACGAGATACTGCCCAATAATGCCGCCACCGTTCCACTGTTGAAAGATTGAGTACAGTACAAGAACGAACACTCTATACTGTGCTGGTCTACCATGGAATAGCACACGGTAGTCCCACCAAGCATGGTTACTTTGTCTCTCATTCTGCAGGGATTCTTCAATCTGATTTGCAACAATAGTGACTAAAGGATGATCCACGTTATTGCCTTCTGTGGTTTGCATCTTGGCGATAACCCTCTTCGCCTTTTCCATTTGTCCTCTCATGATGAGATAACGTGGTGATTCTGGTGTTAAGGGGTAGATGAGCAAGCACACAATCAATGGAAACAATCCTTCCAGAACTAAAGGAATTCTCCAGCACCAATCTGATTCGATGTGAGCCAATCCTATCAATCCGGCGTTCATACATAAGCTTCCGACTTGAAAGCAAGCTCCAAATATCCCAACAAGTCGACCTCTGAGATGGGTTGGGGCTACTTCCGCGACGTACTGGGGACTGGACATCAGTGCTGATCCAAATCCCAAAAAGAAACGGCCAGCCATAAACATTGGCATGTTTACCGAAAACGCTTGCAGAAGAGATGCAACTAGAACAATAAAATTTCCTGCGAAATTGATGCCCCGTCGTCCGATAATATCAGCAAATGCCATGAATGGAGCGCCACAAATTGTTCCGATAGTCATCAAGGCGTTCAAAGTACCATAAGTCACACCGCTCGTGCCAAATCCGAAGTAGGTGTGCCAAGGTTTGAAGGCATTGATTCCAGAAATGACGGCCCAATCGATACCGTATCCAGCGGCACCGCAGCCTTGTACGAACATCATCAAGAAGACCCGAAACGAAGTCCATGATTTGAATTGCAGCGATTCTTGAGATAATAAGAATAAGTCCTCTTCAGTTAGACGAGCAATAGTAACTTCCTCCACATTTTCTTCGGCATGTTTGAAGTCGCCTAGGCCTTCTGAGACGACTGGCTCCAGCTTATTATTGTACCCAGGTGACATTGTGTTCCTGATTCAGATAGCGAACTCCTTCGAGGTAAAGGCCAGATTTGCGTCCTCAGGGAATTTTGCGAAGACAATTGGAGAGTTTTCTTCTTCTTGTTTGGAGGCTTTGCCTCAGATGAAGATATATCTTTCTAGGTGTCCCTGATGGGCAACGGAGGTGAGTGGGGAGTGTAAGAGGAAATTTGCCAATACCACCACTCCACAATAATCGTATGACTCCTGTGTTCTCTCTTGAAAAATTGACTTCGATATTCACTTTGGTTATATAAGAAAATTCATATGGATTCCAGCCAATCATGTCACATGTCCCATGCGGGACAACGGCCCTTGCTACCACCCGATGTCACCTCACTTTCCCCCGCATTATCTCTTCTCCGCAACCCCAACAGTTGATAATTATCATTGAACAAACAGATTCTATTGATGGATTTACAGACATTCGTTCAGGCTGTTGTCTATGCGTGAAGAAGTTTCCTGGTTAAATTGATCCCTGCCATCAGATTCAAAGTGATTGGATAAATAGCGAATTTTTGCGGAAGAGAATGCGCCGAGACTGGCCGCATTCGTCTTCGGACAGCATTGGCCACCATGGAAAATTGATATCTAGAGCATGTCTCAGTGTTAGAGTACTGAATAACACGCTTTGAACATCCAAGATGGCCCCCTCTAACCTGGAAGAAACTCTCCATTACACGTCACCTGCGAAGGACTGGTCGGAAAGTTTGCCTATAGGCAACGGCCGATTGGGTGCAATGGTCTATGGCGGCACGTCTAGGGAAAAGCTTCAGTTGAATGAGAATTCAATCTGGTATGGCGGTCCCCAAGATCGTACGCCGAAAGACGCGTTCAGAAACCTAGACCGTCTGCGACATTTTATCCGGATCGGCGACCATGCAGGAGCGGAAAAATTGGCTGAGCAGGCATTTTTTGCCACTCCTCACAGTCAACGCCATTATGAACCACTCGGAACGCTGACCTTGGATCTTGGACACGACGAAGCAAAAGTGAGCAACTATTGGAGAGGACTGGAACTGTCAACAGCGAATGTGACCACGGAGTATGAGTATCTTGGAGTTGGTTACAAACGCACAGTCTTCGCTAGTTATCCTGACGATGTATTGGTCGTCGAATTGGAGTCGTCCGAGAAAGTCGAGTTCACCATCCGACTATCAAGATATAGCGATCGAGAATTTGCTACTGATGAGTTCGTCGACTCTATTGAAGCGCAAGATGGGACTATAGTGATGCACGGGACACCAGGTGGACGAAAAAGCAACAATTTTTGTTGCGTTGTCAGTGTTCAGGACTTAGCTGGTGATGGTAACGTCGAAACCGTGGGGAACTGTGTTATTGTGAACTCCTCAAAAGCTATAATCATTGTTTCTGCTCAGACGACATTTCGCCATGCGGATTTAGAAGCTAAATCCCTGGATCAAACAAGGAAGGCCCTCTATAGCCATGCTGATCTTTTCAAAAGACATGTTCAGGATTACAATTCACTGTATGGGCGATTCAAACTTCGACTTTTTCCCGATGCTGCTCACATGCCTACAAATGAGAGGCTACTTATTACTCCAGATCCTGGCTTGGTAGCTTTGTATGCTAACTATGGTCGCTATCTTCTTATATCTTGTAGTCGACCAGGAGATAAAGCTCTTCCTGCGACTTTGCAAGGGCTATGGAATCCATCATTCCAGCCTGCATGGGGCTCTAAATACACGATTAACATCAATACACAGATGAATTACTGGCCAGCTAATGTCTGTAATTTGGAAGAATGTGAAGAACCATTATTTGATCTGCTTGAACGGATGGCGCATCGTGGAGAGAAAACCGCTAGAGTTATGTACGGGTGTCGTGGTTGGACATCCCATAGCTGTACAGACATCTGGGCTGATACAGATCCTCAGGATCGTTGGATGCCAGGCACACGTGAGTCGCCTCTAATTCTTAGTTTCGATGATCTACTTGACTAAAGCGATCTTAGTGTGGCCCATGAGTGGTGCTTGGCTTTGTACTCATGTTTGGCAGAGACAATTGTTTGGAGGCGATCATAATCTAAAATTCCTCCAAAGAATGTTTCCTGTACTACGTGGAAGTGTTCAATTCATCTTGGATTTTCTTATCAAGGATTCAACAGGAGAATATCTAATAACTAGTCCATCTTTGTCCCCGGAAAACTCTTACATCGACCTTCAAGGTCAAAAGGGTGTTTTGTGTGAAGGGTCTGCTATCGATATACAGATCATCAAATCTCTCTTCGAGGCATTCCTGTTATCTGTAGATTTGCTACAGATAAACGATGAACTTACTGAACCTTTGAGATTAGCTCGAAGCAAACTACCGCCTTCCAAAATCGGCGAATTCGGACAACTACAAGAGTGGCTTCAAGACTTCAAAGAATATGAGCCGGGCCACCGCCACACATCGCATCTTTGGTCTCTTTATCCAGGGGACTCGATTCACCCCTTTAAAACACCAAACTTTGCTTCTGCTGCTGAGGTTACGCTGCGTCGTCGAGCTGAGAATGGTGGAGGTCATACAGGATGGAGTCGAGCCTGGCTCATCTGTCTTCATGCCAGGTTACATGATGCGGATAGCTCTTTGGGGCATATTTTTAGATTGTTGGAAGACAGTACATTACCCAACTTACTAGATGTACATCCCCCCTTCCAGATTGATGGTAATTTTGGTGGATGCGCTGGTATTGTCGAAATGCTAATACAGTCACATCAAATTGATACCATTCAAGTCTTGCCAGCCTGC